TGGTTAAAAAGGGTAAAGTTTCCTGGGGGAAGTAAAAAAGGGTTAAAAATTTTTTTGGAAAAAAAAACCCCCAAAAAAAAAATAAATTCAAGGGGGGGGGTCACCCGACCGAAAGGGGGAAACCAAAAAATGCGAAACCCCTTTGGGGGGGGGGGGCCCCCCTTTTAGGGGACCCCCAAAATCCCCCAGGGGGTTTCGCCTTGGGGAATGGAAAACCCGGTTCGGGGAAAAACCGGGGGGTTTCCTCCCGGGTTTTGGGGGGGGGGGGGGTAAAGGTTAAAAGGATTGGGGAAGGCAGGATTAGGAAAACCCCCCCCCCCCCCCCGTGGAAGAGTACGCCCCCCCCCCCCCTCCCCCCGTCGCCCTCGTGCGCGCGCACCGCGATACACGGTACCGCAACACCACAAAGCGGCAGCAAACCACACGCGCAAGACACGCCCCAGGCACCCGTAAAAAAAAGCCAACACAACGCAAGCAACATGCCATATGCTAAGAAAGCACTCGCCTGCTCCTGGTCCGGCGCCCGCTCAGCTCCTCCGACCGTCAGCGTGCCGTGGAGCCGAGTCCTCTTGCTGTAGGGCAACTATTTGGTTCGGCAGTTTTGTAGCGGGAGGGTTCGGCGGCGGCCGGTAGGGGGGTGCGTTGGTCGCGCGTTAGGGAGGGAGGCGGTGTGCGAAATTTCTTGCGGGGGTGTTATTTTTTTCCGAACCGTCGACCGTGCTCTCACGGGGAGACCGATAAAAATTACGCCCACTTTGAGCACACAACGGGTTCATAAAACCCCACGACCCTTTTAGGTAGTTGCGTGTCATACCCGTTACTTTCTCCTCTTGAAAACTCGTTCATGGGACACGTCCACGGACGCCCCGAGGTACTGGTCACTGGTTGGTGAAAGAGCAGAACAAAATGTAGTTGGTCTGCCGCGCTAAATGGCCGACCTCTCGCCGAACGGTTCGCCAATGGGAGGGCGTCGGTCTGCGCACGCGCGCAAAGGTGCTCTCCTTTTGCCGGTTTTTGTCACAAGGTGGCATCGACCCCTTACGTATTAATCGGCTGATCAACGAACTGGCCACGGCAATCCTTAAGTTGAGCTTGAAACTATAGCTTTCCGATCAAGGCAAATCATTCTGTCATCAAACGCTGGTCGTAGTCCAAGCGTGCACGTTTTTGATAACCTGGGCCGAACCAAAGAGGCATTCGACAACCGCAATCAACCAAAATCGCTTCACAGAACCACGCGACAAGCCAGTCAACCAAACCCCGCACTAACCCACAAGTGGGCAGCAGAAGGAGCAGCAGCAGCAGCAGCAGCAGCAGCAGCAGCAGCAGCAGCGCCGTGGATACGTACCGATGCACAGGTATGTACTCGCAATGAGGTGCACGCCCGAGGACCAACAACCAACACGTCGCTCCAAAAGCAGTTTCCCCAATCCTGCGACACCCGACACAACCCCGTTGCCCGGATAAAAACTGCTGTCCGCATAAAAACTGTCGCCAAAGCGGTACATAGGCGCGTGGTGTACGAAACAGGCGAGTCAAACGGAGGAAGAACCCCGGCAGCAGCAGCAGCTGCTGCGGAAGCCGCGGCGAACGCACCTGGCCGGCGAGGGCGTTGAGCAGCGTCGTCTTCCCTGAGCCGGAGGGGCCCATCACCGCCAGCACTTTTCCCGCGTTAGCCCTGCCGCTGACGCCGTCCAGGATCGCGTTCTTCTTGCTGCGCCCCACGGAACACGAAACATCCTGTTCCGTCATCATCGAGATCCGCCGAAACGCGAGAAAAGGACATGGTGACGGCAAGAGATCGGCACCGATTCGCGCTTGAATTAAATTCCGATTGGATTTGAATGGATTGGACAAAGCGCACGCAACGGGCCAACCGCCGCAGCAGGAAGAAGGCGGAAAACAAATAATTATTCCTACTTACTATTGTATAGGAAGAGATGAGGGGGTGACGGCAGGCACACAAATCGGGGCCCGGGCGTCTGCATCATCTAACAGAGGTTGGTTGGTTGATAACCTGAGATAGTCAGCCGCAACGCAAAAGGTACGCATTGTGCATCGTCGGGAACGGGGTGGAAACGGGAAGTGGGGTGTCCAATGATCGCGGGTTGGTGCTGCTATCACGTATTGTACCGGTAAGAAAAGAGTCAGCGTCTCTCTCTGGCTATGCCTAGGCACGCGAGGTCGCGCCGCAGCGCCAACAAGCGGTTGCACGTGGTTTAGGGTGGACCCGCGGGTGCATCCAACCGATACACAAACCGCCGTATTCTGTGCTTGTATTCTACAGTAGAAGTTGCAAGTTTACTGTAGATTGTGTTCAATATGTGATTTGAACAGATGGATAAAAATACCACGAACAATACGTTTTTTTCCGATTTGCGCGCAGGGATCGAGGTTATCGCACAGGGGTGCGTCAAAAAGAACGAAATGGTTTTAACCATGGCGCCCTTTGTACCATCGCTCACAAAACTTACGAATGACCGTATATAAGAATGTTTTCCCGCCGTGTGAGTATTACGTGTAAGTGTATAACATGCGAAGGGTCAAAGGGTGAGCAACTTAAACTTTTCTTCCACGTTACAACGAACAGATCAATACACGCTGTCTTTCCTCCACGAACAGGATCGCCTAGGTTTTCGCGAGGGAGGCTTACGGTCTGTACACGACGGGGGGGCAAAGCAAGCCAGCAGGGGCAATCAGGCATGAGTTCACACACATGCGTACACCAAGAAGCACAGCACGCGCCCGGTGTCGCTGCTTTGGTACAATACTTTAGCATCTCTTCAAACGACCCCCCTCACCTTCCATTCGACGTCAAGCTTATCCACCGCTGAAGTCGTCGAGAACAAGCAACTGCTTGCAATGAGCAGTGGTAAGACACGAGGCAGCAACATTGCTCCCACTTTCTTCCGAGGCGTGTGCTTCTTCAACTGCAGCCTGTTCGATTCCAGCTTCAAGCTGGAAGCCCTGCTGCGGATACGTACCCGCGGCTTGGGGGGGGGGGCGGTGCTAGGAATAATGGTCGATTGGAGGCATACGCTTCTCGGTTGCGGGCCCCCTTGAAACGAACTTCAAAATCGAAATGACAGAATGATACCGACCCACCAACTTGGACCAACTAGAGCGAAATGCCTGTAAGATGTATGGTCGAGAAGTAGATGACGGCTGGCGACAGCTCTAACTAATTAACTCTACCTTTCCTGTGTTGTGTACAAAGGTGATACAATATCGAAGAAAGAAACAAAATGTACGGACAGCCGTTCCGAACCAACAGGTATTATCCCGCATTCGGACGGACCAGACACCCAGATAAAGATTCATCGACATTACTCCAGCACAGCAGAGGCAGTAGTCTGTCTCGTAGATGCGACCAATTCAATAGCACCCTGCAGATGAAAATAGTAAGAATAAGCATTGCTATAATGTACGTATGCAGAGACAATTTCGTCCACGTGCGCGTACAGGCGTTTGGACAAAAACGTCAATCGCTGCACGTTGATCCACACGAAGCCTCTGCCTCTTGGATAGACTATGCATACAACGAGGAAATATAATAGGATGGGGCTGTGCACTAGGAGAGAAAATATTCCCGCTCCTTGATTGAAAAATATTTGATCTGTTTGTGTTGTTTATACTGTACATCTGTAGGGCAGTGACCGCGGGGTATATATTTACCGTTCGTTTGTTTGTGAAACCGTCGACATCGGAACTCGACGCGTGTACATGCACGCAAGTACACACACCGTACCTGTGCAGCCTGCACAGCACGGCTGCAGCGCAAGCAGTAGTGACATTATGGGACAGGCCGCGAGTTGCTGTTCGTTCTGCTGCCCTTGTCCATTGAGGAGAAAGGCCGCAGCGGTACCAGGAGCAACAACCGAAGACCAATCAAAGTTGCTCCCGTCGTCGTCGACGAAGAAGGCACACAAGCCACGAAAGGAGAAATGTTCGAAGTATCGACGACCACCTTCTCATCTGAGAGAGTTGTCGGGTGACATGTGAGCTTCGTTTTGTGCTGGGAGGGTTCACCCATTGGAGTCGAGCCGTATTTTACGCACGGCTCGTATGTATCTCATTGGTCGTAGCTTGCGCTGTTTGCGCCGTACGGAATATTGGTGCCGTTTGCACGTACGTGCATCTTGGATGGACAGGCATAACAGCACTTCGAACTGAATGACAATAACCGGTTATCACTGTCCGCGCGGTCTTCATAGTGGAACATTGCAGGCTGTCCACCACTACTACAATATAGCACGGACAGCAACAGGCTTGTTTGCTTCAGCGTTGTTGTGATGAGCGGGATGTCGCGACCAAGTTCTTCCACAAATCTGGGTCGCACACTATCGGCAATTAACCCAGCTAAATTGGTTACATGTTGTACCAGTACAGCAGTGTTCAACGCCACCATGGCCTTACGCTCGTGGAAATTGTTGTCAAAGCGACCCAATTCCAATGTGCTTACGTATGCGTGCGATCTCCATGATTAAGACGTAAGCACCACGTCCATGTTCATTGAGAATGAAGACTTCGTTGTATATTTCCCGACTTGGGGTATGTATGTATCCCGAATCGTCCCGTCATTTGCCGCTATGCTCATTTAGTAAGAATTCAAACGTATTTCTATGCAGTCAGTGTGCTCAGATGTGTGGGTGACTCTTGTAGATTCCAGGCAGTAAGCAGTAGACTTTGTACATTACTCCATGATGGCCAGAGACGTACACTGCAGTTCCGGCACAAACCCAATGGACTGCGGACTCTCTGCACGATGCAATTGCACTTCCGTCGCCCTGTTCTACCCCATCACACGAGTCGCGAGCCAGAACTCTGCTCGTTGCGTCCGTAACCGATGTTCATTTTACGCGCGTGCGCCGTCACTTTTGTTGGCCTCTTTTGACGGGCGAAAAGAAATCAAGTCGTCAGGTTGGTGCTCGTGGGTGGATGCGACACGGGGAAGACGTGCCTGCTACGGCGTTTTCTCGGCGGCTATTTCGACGACATTGGACACCAAGACTACACGAGGCAAGCGCAGGCAATGTTGATTAAATGTGCTGCAAAGCCATTCGTGTTACTTGTATACTCGACGACACCCACCGTAATGTGGTGTGTGCACGATCAAGTTGATGGGCGAGCAAGATATTTTCCTACTGCTCACAGGGTCACAACGACAGTATCTCTGCAAAACCAGGTCCTCTGTCTTTCTCGTTCTCTTGTGCTCGTGCTGTCGTGCGTGGCTACTCTTGGGCGTGTTACCAGAACGCTGGGGGTGGATTTCGGATGCAGGACCGTGGACCTCGCTGACCGTCGAGTTCGTCTCCAGATGGTGAGCAAGCCAACGCTTCAGAAATGGTCACGAGAGACCATGCTCGAGGAACCGGAATTGCACTACTGAGAAACGCCCCGCGAGGGACGAGAGACCTTCCGCGACCACACGTCCCACATTGTGGGACGAGAAAGAAAACCAATTATGAGCGAAAAAATGTATCTTCCCCTGCAATGGTTAGCAGATGGGCGTCAAGACCTACATCCCCTGTGTTGCAGTTGGCGCCCGGAGAATTGAAACGTCAGTTTCGGTTGAAACTTATTTTCGTATTTCTTCCCCGCCGTGGAGAATAGTAGGAGGTTGATTCTTGGCCATTTTTGTCGTTGTTCCGCGACAATCCATGATCGTAGCTGTCCCGACTTCCACGAATCACGCTGAAGTCACGTTGAGGAAGCAGAATATTACATGTCTGGCAACCTGTTGCAGGTTTTGTAAAATTGGGTTCCATTGTTTATCAGTGCGCGCCGAAGCGTGGTACATGGCGACTTGTATCACTACACTTCTGGGGTTTTGTCTGCGAGGTCGTGGTGATAGTATTGAGCAACCAGAAAAATCGATTGGAGGCTCCACCTAACATATTGATAGTGCTTTCTGGCAGCAGCGTGAAACCGTCATCCCCGCGCGAAGGGCAAAATCAAGAACAGGCTAAAATGTGGAAGGCTGTCAATGGAGATCAAAGCCACAGTCGCAAACACACCACTGATTACATAGGAAGGAAGGAATTTCCATGGAGGCACATGAACATCAGGGAAGTTTAGTGTCACGGCTATGCCATCGAAACACATGCCATCTCTCTAGGATGTTCATTTCCGTGGGAGTCGCGGGTATTGTGGCTGAAACGGCCGTGGAAGCCGTGGAAACTCCCGTTAAAGCTCATGGACAAGCCGACAATGGTGTCGAACGTTGCAAACCTAAGAACTATAACCTAACAACACGATGTCCCAAGACTACAGTTAGATATTCGCGTGGCAACAGCGTTCCATTCTAAGGCAGGTACAGCTTACTGCGCTGTCTCTCTTAGATGCGCAACAAAACGACGTGCATGTCAATTTGATTGCATGCGAACAAACGGCGTTGTCCTTTCGAACTCATCGATGACCACCCCATCAACTGTGCGTGATTGGCTCCCTACCGGTTACGCGTTTGTCTACCTGCGCCCGCTGGACATGTATTTCAACCTAAGTGGGATACCGGCGGCAGTGAGACGTATCGAAGCGTTGTGTCTCACTACCTCCGAGGAGCCGATGGGGTCATGATGTGCTTCGATGTCAACAGCAAGGTCGGACTCCCTTCTTGGTCAAAGACGAATTAACAAGTTTTCACCGTTGTTGTACTGAGAATACCTGCTACCGTAAACGTAGGGTGTCCCCGAGCAGTAGCGAGCACCAGGGCCTTGCATGAGTCGAGGCGGTGGGTGTTTTACGAACGGAAACGTTGACAAAGCTCTTCCCGGTGGACAACGCCTTCTGGTGGTCTAAGCGCATGCTCTAGCCGTACCATTGAGTGAAGTATGTGACCCCCGTAACGTGGGAGAAAAACAGCCCCCGTACTAAGGGGGAAAATCAGCCAGCCTTTTTTTCAGGGGAACTAGGAGCTCTGTGGTCGCTACAAAAATCTAATTGTGTTCCACCACAGCATGCACGCTGGTGTATCAAAACATTGACGGTAGTGATGTTCCTCTTGCCAACTACAACAACAGGAGACTCTCCGCTCGCTGAGGTCAACTTGGGCGCCTTTCTTGGACAAACACACTCCAAGAACCTGTAGGGTCTTGCTCGCTGGAAACAAGGCTGACGCTCGGGGCGATTTCGGCGTGAACGGTGGAGAGGTCTCTCACGAGGATGCAAAGGTACCTAGTCGTGCAGCGGGTAGCTTTCTTATGCCACGCCCCCCACCTTGGTATACGGCACTCTGCCGAATTTATTGCTCATAGATTTTAGTCATTTTGATGTCGCTTCTCGTCGAAGACCGGTTGCAACCCTCGACGGATGACAGCCTGTCTAGCTGTTAAAACTGTTTCTGCGAGCAGTGGACGCCACCTTTGCTGCGTTGCCCACCCATCCCTAAGATTGCTGCGAAGTCTGAGGTCAGGTTTCTCTGCGGAGGTCGACTTGCTGCATGCCCGGTGCGCTGTTGGTTACGATGAAAATAGGAAGGTTTGTTCGTCGAAGCAGATAGAATAAACTGGTGTTTATTTTGTAACAGTCGAATTAGAATTTGGCTTCATTTTCTACCGGAAACCCAGGGTCACGGTGTTTGGAATTATTAGTCTATAGTTGGGGGTGTCATTCCGTGATCGAGTCCACGCAGGGGCTGTAGCAAAGTCGGGTAACGTGTGACAGCTACAGAGCGCGTGAAGCAACGGAAGGACAGCAGCAGCCGCCTAACGCAGTAGCGGCGGCAGTTTAGAAAAGGGCGGGACGGGACACGGCGCAAGCATTGGGGAAGTGACCAGCACGCGACTCTCCATATAAAGGTGTGTACTCGTGTCCAACATCCATCGTGTCGGCCGTGTTCCTATTCGCGTCCCGCTACTCTTGTGACCTCACCGCTGCGTGCATTTAGCACGAGGGGGGAGGGTGCAGTAAGATAAGCGGCGGCAAGCCAACGCAGTCTCGCTCGCCGCGCCGCTCAGATAGGTCCCTTCCCAAACATGGGATGCGGTTCATCCCAACCGAGACGTACTCTCGCTGAAGAAAAAAAATGCGGTTCGTCCCAACCAGACGTACTCTCTCTGAAGAAAAAATTCAACGGCAAAAAGAAAGAGCGGGGCCTGTTGTATGGTCGCACGCTGACTTGTCGCGGTTGATAGCAGCCATTGTACTGCACGGGGTGGAGGAACCCTGCGGCATCGGACATAACCAATCGACCCGCGGCAGTAGGGCATGATGCTGTCACGATTATGCACATGAGGCAGGTGCCTTGTTTTCTGTTTCCCCCGGCTTACTAGGGACTACTCGCCGGTACAATCTTGTCTGTGCCGCGCACAGAGGGGCATATAGCTGAAGGAATCGACGATAATATGCCCACTCACGTAAGCAATCGTCTCCACGGATGGTATTGACAAGTCCCCACTGATGGTATCGACAAGTCCCATGGCATACAAAGCGGCCGCATACGTAATCGGAAAGTGCATTCAACAGCATTCACGGGAACGGATAAAAGCAAAAACACATGCATGCGAGAGAAAGACTCAAAGAAAAAGACTGAAAAACAATGAAGACGAGAAAAAAAAAACGAGACAGCGAACTACGTGCTGTATGCATAAGGAAAAAGAAGATGAGAAAAAAATAGGGGGGGGAGGTGGATGTGACACGCGAGGTTCGAACTCGCGAGGAACGTCAGGTAGCGGTCCATGTGAGTGCATCACGGTCTCGAGGGGCATCACGTCAAATTTATTGCCGCCGTGACACAAACCTTCTATAAGAATACGTCACGTCCATCGACGATTAAGCGACCAAAAAACGCCCGGACAGCAATTGATGCATGCCAAAAACTCGTCAACCTGCCGTAGGATTGTCTATGCGGAAGTGATCTCAATGAAAATAAAAAAAACAAGGACACGCACCAGCACGGGACGCGCCAATAGTGGAAGCACTCGTCCGTGCTGTTGGCGAGTGGAAGTTAACCGATCTCAACGCAACGAAACACGAAGTCATACATGTATCAGCACGGGATGCGCCAATGAGTGGAAGCACCCGCGCTGTTGGCGAGTAGAGTTAACCGAATTCAACGCAGCGGTAGAAAAATACCACAAATCATGCATCAGTACGGGACGCGCCAATGAGTGGAAGCACCCGTGCTGCATATGTGATGTCAGCCTCAGCACGGGACGCGCCAATGAGTGGAAGCACTCGTGCGGTTGGTGAGTAGAGTTAACCGATCTCAAAAAGAAAGAACAAAACGCCGTACATGTATCAGCACGGGACGCGCCAATGAGTGGAAGCACCCGCGCTGTTGGCGAGTAGAGTTAACCGAATTCAACGCAGCGGTAGAAAAATACCACAAATCATGCATCAGTACGGGACGCGCCAATGAGTGGAAGCACCCGTGCTGCATATGTGATGTCAGCCTCAGCACGGGACGCGCCAATGAGTGGAAGCACTCGTGCTGTTGGCGAGTAGAGTTAACCGATCTCAAAAAGAAAGAACAAAACGCCGTACATGTATCAGCACGGGACGCGCCAATGAGTGGAAGCACCCGCGCTGTTGGCGAGTAGAGTTAACCGAATTCAACGCAGCGGTAGGAAATACCACAAATCATGCATCAGTACGGGACGCGCCAATGAGTGGAAGCACCCGTGCTGCATATGTGTTGTCAGCCTCAGCACGGGACGCGCCAACGAGTGGAAGCACTCGTGCTGTTGGCGAGTAGAGTTAACCGATCTCAAAAAGAAAGAACAAAACGCCGTACACGTATCAGCACGGGACGCACCAATGAGTGGAAGCACCCGCGCTGTTGGCGAGTAGAGTTAACCGAATTCAACGCAGCGGTAGGAAATACCACAAATCATGCATCAGTACGGGACGCGCCAATGAGTGGAAGCACCCGTGCTGTATATGTGTTGTCAGCCTCAGCACGGGACGCGCCAACGAGTGGAAGCACTCGTGCTGTTGGCGAGTAGAGTTAACCGTATCCAACGCATCGAAAAAAAAAAAAAAACACGTATCAGCACGGGACGCGCCAATGAGTGGAAGCACCCGTGCCGATGGCGAACCGGGGTTCACCGAATCCAAGAAAATATATATATAAAAAAAAAAAAAAAGAGAAACCATCGCTAGTGTTCCAAAGAGAGAAATATTCGGGATTGGTCGACGTCCGGTGACCGTAGCGTCAGCAGCAATAATCACTCCATTCAATCCACAGGCGTCGAGAATGAACTAACGCGAGCTCGCGATATAACAACGCGTCGTTCTGGGCCCGACGAAAACCCACGTCAGATAGTTTCGCCCGAAGATAGGATTTGTAGACCATTCTAACTGCAGATCCAGGCGCGCGATCGACTACGCCCACGATGAAGAGGAAAAGAAGTGTTCCCGCAACGCCGCCCTGACGCTCGCCCGCCGCCTGCCGCCGGTCCGCTGCTTATACGACTCCAACCGCGACCAGATGCCGACACGGGCCTCCACGCGGAGCGGCAGGGCAGCGGCTGGGCAAGCAGGGCGAGGTCGGGCGGCGACACCTTCGACACCACGCACGAGAGGTCTACCGCGCGATCGGTGGCGAGCTCGACGGCTCGCCCCTCGACGCGCAGCGGATCACGTACTCCCGCGAGGCGTCGAGCGGTATCCTCCTCGCGAGCGCCAGGGACAGGCACCCGCGGCGACCCCCCCGCTGATGAGACTGAGCTCGCTTCTCTCCGCGGGCTGGTGGACGGCCTGAGGGAGGAGCTGCAGCGGAAGCGCGATGAGGCTGCCGGTGATCGCCAGCAGCTTCAAGCAACGATCGACGACCTGATCGCCACCCAAGCAGCAGGACCTGGCCTTCCGGGGGGGGGTGCAACTTGTGGGCACAACCGCCCCACCATCGGCCTCTCGGGCCCCCGCTACACCCAGCGCCGAGGCGGCTAAGGCTACGGCAAAGGATAGAGCGCGGATGTGGGGGGACCTCCGCCGGGTAAAAGCGTGGCTCATCCTGGGGCGGCCCCCGGCAGTTTCAAAACTGTCGCAGATGGAGTGGCAATCCTTGCTTCGCAAAGGCGTCCTGGTGACAGAGAAAGTGGCGGCATCGCTCGACACGCTCGTGGTTACTGCTTCGCCTTCAACTCGTCGTCCGGTTGCCATGATCGTAACTGCCCACACATCCACGCCCAGAACCCTTCCCACGCTAGGCGCGGAGCGTCCGAAACTCCGGCAACCGGCGCGCGCGGCGTTGGCCACGGCAACGGGGGAGGGCGCGGAGGAGAGGCGCGCGCCGCTGGCGAGGGCGGCGCGAGACCCAAGGCCGCTGGCTTCTTCACCCACGGGAAAGACAAATAGGGGTGCGGGCTCTCCCGCGTAGCGGGGGGGCCTACCTCGGATGGCAGCGCACCTGCGGCTAAATCGAACGGCAGCACGCCGGTCTACACGAGGTTGGCTCCAGGGCTATCAGCAGGTTCAGGACCTGGGACAGGCAGGACGGGACTTTGTTACCGACGTCTTGGCATGCAGCTCGTCGAGCACTCAGTTGCGTCTTCGTCTAGAAGGACTTACACGTCAGGCTTCAACTCTTGGTGCACGTTTCGCAGGCTGACGGAGAAGCCCAAGTTCGTAGGGCAACGTGCCGGGGACCTTCATGTGTGGGAGTTGATAGACTTCGTAGCCTGGTGTTTCGAGTCTGAGGGTAATCTAGCGAGTACAATATCCGGAAAACTCACGGCTGTACAACATTTTCATAGGCTGGAAGCTTCTGTCGAGCTAGACTTGTCGTCTCCGATGTTGAAATGTGCGCTAAGGGGGATTGCGAGGAACCACGTGGCTGTGGGGACGGTACGCCGTGTGCGCCTGCCTGTGTCTTGGCGTATGCTGCTGGACGGGGAAAGCGCAAGCCAGAACTGGGGGGAAGGGGGCAGAGTAATGTGGCTGTGTCTGTGCTTGTCCTATCTCTTTATCACACGGTCTGATGAGGTGTTCGCGAATGATGCGGGCAGGGTGCATGAGGCACACTGTCTTACGAGGGCGGACGTAGCATTGTTTGCTGTGCGAGACGCAATTAGTCTTTAGTCACTATCGTAGAGCAGACCGTGTCGAAATGAGGTTTAGAGGGCACAAGGCCGATCAAGAGCAGAAAGGAAACATACGGGTTCGTACGCGAGACGAAGTCACCGGACCGCAGTCAGGTGTGAGAGCACGCGGTGGCGCGGTGGCTCTTGTGGTGGAGCTGTTATCGTGTCATGCGACGTTCCCTGACTCCGCACCGTTGGCTTCGTACCGTAGTGGAAGAGCAGTGAGAGTAGTGAGGTATACTGCTGCCCTCCGTGCACTCAGAGAAGTGGTAGCGAGGTCGGGGCGTAACCCCCAGGAGTACGCGTTGCACTCGTTGCGAATTGGAGGCGCGACGGCTCTTGCATCGGGCGGAGACATCGCAGAACGAGTGATTCAGAGAGAAGGGAAGTGGAGGTCGGATGCATACAAGCCGTACGCGCGAAACAATGTAGAGGATTCGCGGCGAGTGTCACGGAAACTTACAGACGGCAGTAGGATCGTATCGAGACAGCCGGGGGAGGGGACCGTCTGGGGGAACGGATAGTTGACTTATTCGGTAGTCGTCCAGAAACTGACCTCGATGTGGGTGTTGTAGAATGGTGTGTACCATTTGAGGACTTGGTCAGTTTTGGGACTCCTGCGTTTGCAGTCGTAGTCCCCCGGCTAGTATTTGTGGGGAGAGAGATGGATTTGTAAGAGTTGACGCCGGCCTTTGCAGCTAACGCGGCCGGAGAGACGATGAGCGTTTCGTGCGTCTCTCTCCCCAACACGTAGCCTAGAAACCGAAGAAATAATGAAGCAATTCGAAAGAAAACAAAATAAAAGGAAGGTTTGTTCGTCGAAGCAGATAGAATAAACTGGTGTTTATTTTGTAACAGTCGAATTAGAATTTGGCTTCATTTTCTACCGGAAACCCAGGGTCACGGTGTTTGGAATTATTAGTCTATAGTTGGGGGTGTCATTCCGTGATCGAGTCCACGCAGGGGCTGTAGCAAAGTCGGGTAACGTGTGACAGCTACAGAGCGCGTGAAGCAACGGAAGGACAGCAGCAGCCGCCTAACGCAGTAGCGGCGGCAGTTTAGAAAATCCCGCCCTCCCATCCCTTTTCTTTCGAAGGTGGGGGCATAAGTTCGGGAATATTCGGTATCTAGTCAGGTGTTGTAGAATGGTGTGTACCATTTGAGGACTTGGTCAGTTTTGGGACTCCTGCGTTTGCAGTCGTAGTCCCCCGGCTAGTATTTGTGGGGAGAGAGATGGATTTGTAAGAGTTGACGCCGGCCTTTGCAGCTAACGCGGCCGGAGAGACGATGAGCGTTTCGTGCGTCTCTCTCCCCAACACGTAGCCTAGAAACCGAAGAAATAATGAAGCAATTCGAAAGAAAACAAAATAAAACATCCCACAAACCAGTTCTCGTACGTGACAACGTGTGTCTGCTACGGTTGTGGTTTTCGTTCTTGCAAACGCATCTATCGCATCTATGGATCGCAGCGCTTCGCTGAAGCGATGGAGGCCCAGGTGTTCGAGACCAGCGCAAAGCTCGGCACCAACGTTGACGTAGCGGTGATGGCACTCATGCAAGAAGTCTTACACCACCGGCAGTTTGCCGCGGAGGACAAGGCCAGGTCGAGCAAGAAGGGCTCCAGGTACCGTTGTACGGCATGAGAGACAATAAAAAAAAAACAGGATCGTATTTGCCCTTGGATAGTATGGGGAAGAAGTGGACCGTGTCCATGGCTAGGGAGGCACGAATGGTAGCACATGCTACTGTCGCGCATTTCGTTCCCCCGTGCACCCTGGCACATGTCTTGCTCTCATCTACACTATGCCACAAGGCAAGAACATTCCCTCACAGGTCGTTGAACATGTGAAGACTTCAATGTTAAATCGGCAATTGTTTGGGACAACACCTCGCGAGGGATGAGTGTCTCGCGATATTACCGAAGCCACAAGAAGTGACACAAGAAAATTGCATCCGACTACCGCTCGTATACTTAGCGAGTACTCACGTAGTCGTGACATTTCACAACCCTACCCTATGTTGTCTGCCCCCGGCCCTGGCCATCTGTCCTTGGTCTATTCCAGCCCGGCGCGAAGAGGACGGAAAAGGCTCTCTGTTTCCCTGAAGGGCGTGATGGAACGCAATGGCGACCGGGATATCGCTTCCTCATGTGCTGCCCAGAGCGGGATAGGCAGAAGCCCCTCCAACGTGAGGCGGGAGGTTAGGGTGTAGGCCGTGGACCAGACGTTTCGTATGTTCAGATCTCGCTGCGCCGAAAAGTCGATCTATCACCAGCGATACAAGCTCAAACCCATGCCGCAGATGGCATCAATTCTGATGTAATCGCGAGTGCGCCCCTCAACCTACGTGTATTAATTCTGGTGCCAAACTGAACGACTCTCCGTGGCTGTTCAAGATCAGGTGTGCATACGTACGACACCTCTCTCACCTTTCCGAACCCCTTCCCTGTGGTATCTTTATGGCGGTATCACAAACCTCGTTTGCGTCCGCTCACTTGCGTTATGAACCACTTGCCGCGACACGAACTCCCGCAAACCATTCGATACGCGTAGGCCCTTAGCGCCGATGCTACCAACACGGAAGGGACGAGCTCTGCGTACTCCAGTGCAGCCTCCCACAGAGACGGCGATAGCAGTGACCAGGACAACAATGATAGGGACCAAGAGGACCACGGCAGGATGTGGTCAATGCTTCCCAGCACCGACGACGGCATCATTCTAGGCGACGGTGGGGAAGACCGAGCCGATGATGCGCGTCAGGAGCAACAACAAGACTGCGAGTCGGAGAGTGGTCGGCGCGGTGGAGGAACGCCGCCACGCGATAGCGCTGGGGACTCCAGCAACAGCGGCTTCAAAAGAGGGGGGCGCTATCATCTAATCAACAAGCTGGTCATTGCTTCACCTTCTTCTCGAGGAGCGAGAACCGAGGATATCGACGTACATCGGTGTTGTGATCGTGATGATCGAAGCGACGGAGGGTGCCGTCGCCAGCCCAGCCACGTGGAAGAACTCGACGGGCACAATCGCGGCACGAAGGCAGACAACCGGAACGCGACCTCTTTCCCAAAGCCTGGCACCGTCATCACGCCGGAAGTGCAAGCGAGATCGATGAGACCCGTGGCTGCTTCTCGCGACGAGGGGTCGTCTCGTGTTGCTATTGGCCGTGCGCCAGCACCCGTGCCTGACCAGGGGCAGCGGCTACACGGCGGAGGCATGATGGCGGAGGCCCGTCGAGATTTGGTCGTGCCTGAGAGGAAGAAAGCATCGGTAGACGCCGCCTTGCGCGAGGCGCCACCCTGTCATCCACCCGCTGCAGAGCGTTCAGGGGCCCTCTCGGAAGCAACCGTAATAGAAACAGGCCAAGAGCGGCGAGATGTTCGAAGGGGGAATGGTGACAGCGATCTCCGTAGTTTGGGGTGCAATAACCCTGCCATAGCATCCGCCAACTCGTCCTTTTCGACGGTTCTGGCCGGGCACGACCACGCCCACTTCCAGCTGGCATCTCCTGTCCCGGAACAAGAGTAACGTGAAAGTTGGTTGTACCCTAGGATTGTCGTGTCACACATGGTAGCTGTTAAGACTATTCAGAGCGGCTACTGCGTCCAGTCAACCGGAAGAAGGTTAGTCTCACGCTTTAGTCTGGTGTTGTGTGGAGTTGGTAGAAGTCGCACCGCTGGAATGGATCGCTCAGGCCTGGAGTCTGCTATTGCACGGGAATTGTATATATGGATCCTTCATCATGGATCGTTCATGCCTGTGGGTGGTGGTACTCACCCGGGAGACGCCACATCCAGGCTCTTGTGCTCTGCCGGAAAGACGCTGGAATTACCGTCAGCTTGCAATTCTCAGCTGGCTGATATGATGGGTGTTTCGCTGTAAGCGTGTTGTTCTGAGGAGCGGTCGCGATCATTTGCGCTCGTGTCTGTTGTTGTGTGGCACGCCCTGGTAGGGAAAATCGAAACAAACCTATGCTGCAAGAATCGTTTCAAGGCAGAACAACAATTTGGGCTACTACATAGAAGATCAAGGCTGGGTTGTTGGCCCTTTCGCCTAGACATACCGCACCCAAGTCCCGGAAAACGATTCACAGGAGAATCAGCGTTGGTAGGGCGATTACTTGCCGCCAAACGGCGCCGGGTGAAAGCGCCCATTGGAGGTCGTGGGGGAGTACAAAGGGCAGCTCATGAGCTAGAACGTTTCGCGACTGGGCTATTTCTTGGCATCACCACCGTGAAAGAAATCAGACGTATGAAACCATCACGACGACGGGCGCCAGCAAGTGAAAACAGCTATATGCACCCCCTCTCCTTCTTCGCTGCAGTTTCGCGCACGCGGCCGTCAAACACACAGTGCCGTGTGCCGTTCCCCGTCGGCCTCAGCTTACGTCTTCGACACAAACGAAATACTTCTTCCATGGCAAAAAACTGAAGACTGAGGAGATTACCGACGACGTGAGCCTGAAACGCAGAAGAACCCGCACCCTTCGAGAACACATTTTTCTCTAACTTGCTTCACTCACTGTTCGTTCGATTCGGCATCGTCGTCGAGCGGTCGAAAAACCCCACGCCACGAACACGTAACACGAGAGCACGGATGCTCTGGACAAAAGGCTTGCCAGCCGTGACTCCAATGAATTACTCAACCAAGATTTTCAAATATGCACTGATCGGGGGAAGGTAGGTGACATCCAGGGCACGACTTCGTCACGTCAAAGGGCTACTCCCCCACGCCAATTCGACCTCTACGCCAGGCCAGGCTGGCAGCGTTTCACTGGGACGGTTTGTGGCCATCGGGTGCTCGAGGGAGACAGAAGGCGTGGTGCTATCGAGGCGTAGTGACGGGAAGCCCTGGCCGAGTGTTAGCTTCCGGAACGACTCCGGCCAAGATACCCCGTCGAAAGACTGGTTGAAGTCATCGGAGAAGGCCAGATGTTGCAGCGATGCCGGCCACCGCACGCCTTTCACCGGTTGGTTGAAGCACTTGCCAAAAACTATCGTCTGCAGAGATTCTGGCCAGAAAACGTCCCGAATCGGCTGGTTAAAGCGCATACCAAACACTAACGTTTGCAGCGATTCCGGCCACGAAGCGTTTTCGATCGCCTTGTTGAAGTGCATGCCGAAGGTCAGCCTGAGTAGAGATACCGGCCAGGATACGTTGTAGATCTCCCGGTTGAAGCCCGTTGAAAAGCACAGCTCCTGTAGTGACACAGGCCACACGACGTGGTCCACCTGCTGGTTGAAGTAACGCCCGAAGTGCAGCTTCCGCAGTGACGGTGGCAACAAAACACCGTCGACTGGCTGGTCAAACTCCCCGCAGAAGGTCAGTCGTTGCAGATTTGGGGGCCACGCGACATCACTGGCCTGCTGATTGAACACCCACCCGATCTTCAGCTCCTCCAGCGAGACTGGCCACGCAACCTTCGTAATGGATTCGTTCAAATTTGCTAAGAACTCCACCTGCTCCAGTGAAGCTGGCCACACTACGTCGGCAATAGATTGGTTGAAATCAAACCCAAAGGTAAGCCTCTGGACGGACTCAGGCCATTCGAGCCTATGGATCGGCTGATTGAAGTTGGTCCCGAACCTAACCTCCTGCGTCGAAGCTGGGAGAACAACCCCGTCAATTCGCTGATTGAAGTCGAACCCGAAGACCAGTCTCTTCAAAGACGCTGGCCATTTGACACGGTCGATGGGTTGATTGAAAGCCTCCTGGAAGCTCAGCTCGTGAAGTGAAGGTGGCCATTTTACGTCGTGTATGGGCTGATTGAACTCCGCTGAGAGTCTTAGCCTCTCCAGCGTAGCCGGCCACCATACGCGGTGAATCGGTTGGTTGAAGCTTCCGTCCAAGATCAGTGTCTTAAGCGATGCTGGCCACAACACCGTATCAATGCGCTGGTCGAAGGCGTCGCCGAACGTCAGGCAGTGGAGTGATGCCGGGAACACAGCCCTGTCAATGGGCTGGTTGAATAACCCTGGTAAGGTCAACTTTTGCAACGAGCGCGGCCATTTGACGCCTTGAATAGGCTGGTTGAAGTGAGTTCCGAACTCTAGCTGCTGTAGAGATGCTGGCCACACCGCATTCTTGATTGGGTGATTGAAAGGAAATCCGAATTTCAATACCTCAAGCCCACATGGCCACACGATTCCGTCCACAGGATCCTGGAAGTAATCACCAAACGTCAAGGATTTTAGAGCAGCGAGGTTGTCACCCGTGCGCCCATGAAACTCTGAAGCTGGTAGCTCCCACACTACTGCGCGCGGTCGCACGGTAGGCACACGCGACGAACGGAGCCTACCCGGGGTCCCGGCGTTGCCATTCGTCCACAGATGTCTGGGAGTCCCACAATGGATTCTCAAGCGGAATGCTGGCACGCTCCGGCAGGCAACGCAAAGCTGAAGTGACGCTAGTTGAAGCTCAATGATGGATGTGCACCATCCCGCCCCGTCGGATGTGTCGTTCAAGATCACCGCGAGGGCGTCCACGCATCGACTGGTACCTGCGGACGGACAGCGAACGAACGTAACACGGCTCTGTTTCTGTTTCGAGGATCTGAACAATAAGGTTGACACGTGAATTGACTGACATTAGTATTCTCGCCGCACCCACCAAAATTAGTCAACCTGCGTGGACTGACGGATCTTGAGGCCAGGATTTGTTTGCAAAAGTTGGCCCTCGACAACCGTGGGACCAAGATCTGACGCAAAGATAAGATTTCTTCTCGTCGAAAGTGAAACACAGAAGCGTTGGCAAAGATCAAAATTTGACGCCAAGACTCTGCTTCCATGAAGAGCGGTGTATGGAAATCGATCGTATCAAGCAGGGGGGCTGTTTGGTGTGGTTGGATACGAGATCCGACTCGGAAAGTTTGTGCGTTTAGGGCGCATGTAGGCTGTTAGGGGTCCAAGTGCGGGGCCCCTCGAGAGGGAGCACGCACATGCAGTTCAAGTGTGTGTTTGTCTTCTTGATGTTTGTGGAAGGAGCACGGTATATTTTTTTAACAATTTATATATATGTCATCATCATGGGTCCTGGGTTAACATAGTCCCCACAATACGGCAGGTCGTCGCGGTAGCCTCCGTGGGAAAGCACGGAGGCACGAACAATTAATGTACCAGCTGGCTCAAAGATACTTTCTACCATTTCAGTGCATAGGCTTAAACAGACGCAAAAAAACAGCATCCAGCAGGTTTCGTTACCAAGACTGTCAACGCATCGCTTCTCGACTGCTATGGTACGCATATTTTCTCGAACGGGTAGTCTTTCAGTGATCCCACGTATATTTTCCAAAAAATCTATTTGTACATGATCTAAAAACGATTAACAAAATCGGCCAGACAACATTTTCGGTTAAGGCGGAACCGCGCGAGACTGGATTATTTTTCAATTTTACAACGGGTGTGTTTTTGTAGACAATATGGATGGGGTAACCCTGTATTATTACATATGCGCGCCACGAAGAATCTGGTCAATATGCAGTATGAGGGGGCCAGTGTGACGGTCACTAGGTCGACTCGCCCTTGTCTCGGCTCGGGAAGCGACGTAACAGACGGGGGTGGACCGGCTCTCAAGGAGGGTTGGTTCCACTCTCTTTCAACGAACTCCATCATCATTGTTGTGTGGGAGACACACATACAAGATATCGTACTTCATATGTGGGAGTTCATTCGTTCGAGTGCAGGGGAGCAATGCTAATAGGCTATGAGCTCCATCGCCCAGAGGAAAAGTCATGCACCGCAAACAAACTTGACACACCGCGCATGGGGCTCTTATAACCCGCTGCTTGGAACCCACTCGTTGCGACGCGCTCTTTCTCACCTGAGGGACCTCCCGTCGATTCCATCACGTCCCAGCTGATGAAACTTCAACGCCGGACTTGAATGTTCACTATTCACAATCTCGTCGTAAATTCGTGTGTCTGTGCTCGTGTGCTAAAGGTCGTCCAAACCTCTCCCATCTCTTCACACGCGCACTCTACCACATCTTCGCTGGCAGCTGGCCCGCAGCGCTCATTGCTGAACACATGTGCGGCGGAATGCTTGACGGTTGGATTTTTTTTTTCTCGTATCTCACATCACACGCTCGGGCCTCCCGGCATCGAGTTCCCATGCACAACAGGGAGAGGCACCGCATCAGCAAGAGGGGCACAATACCTTACTACGACTCAAGATGACGCGTCAGACTGCTTCAGAAGACCTTTCTCCTACAGAGCTGGCAGAGTTCAGAGAAAGTAAATCCTCCGACTTCAAGCACGTGGTTGGCTGCTCCATCTCTGTAGTCTATAGCCTTTGTGTGGTCTAATTCAATAGGGTGCGGTGCCAGATTGATGACGGAATTTCTGCGTGTGCTACATTTGAACATGCCATATATACCTGCGGGCAGCGAACAACCTTCTCAACTCTAACTCTCGTCACCAGCCGCCTCACTGCGACCCACGATCGTTGCCATCATTTGTCGTTTCCAGTATTCGACCTTGTGGACCGAGACGGCGGCGGCACAGTGACAAAGGAGGAGCTAGGAGAACTGGTGCGTTAGAGCCACAAATGTCGTAGTAAGGTGGGTGTACCTATGTTATAACACCCACGTGGGATTTTACAAAGAAATATCTTTTGTCCTGTCGTCCGATGACAGAGATACGTACTGTAGTTTAGGCCGTAGAAATGATGTGACGTGTATCCTAGACCAGACGAATCTTTCGGCCTAATAATCCTGGACGCTCGATACGTAACTCCACAGAAGTGTAGTCGGCGGTGAACATGCGTCTTCTCTTCTGGGAATAGCAATCAAGCCCATCTTCTGAACCAGAGGGAAGCGCTTCAGTACCGAGCCGTTTCGAGAGCTTTCCGACGATATCAGTACGGCCGTGGCACTCTCTAAGAAAAACAATATGTCCTGCAATCGAAAATTGGAAAATTGGTTCCAACGGAGGTGGTATCCAACGCCGTACCTGTACACGAAGTCTCTATCGATGACATGACTGCATTCCCCATGAACAAGAGCTTTCTGCTGTCTTCGAAAGTGTAGTAAGTTTCTGAGAGAGACTACCCCTCGGGAAAAATATCAGAGAGGATATGTTGAAATGTTTTTTTGGTTATCTCCTCCTGAAACTTCAATCGCTTCGGATCGACCCAAATGAATGTGGCCTGATCCTGCACATGTGTTTGGCTCTCTGTGATCTGCAAGACATATCTGAGGGAGGAGCTTCGGCTGATGCCTTGACCCTTCTACAAGGGTTTTGTATATTTTCTCCACAAGTCAATATCGTTCCAAGAACACCGTTGTCAAAAGGAGAAATATTTACTTGGTAGGGACGCCCTGTGTGCATCGCTTGAGGGCGAGGGATCTTCCTTCACCATCCTCAACTACCAACCAACGTTTCATGACTGCAACTTAATTTACTGCGAAGATGGACACACTCGGGATTGAAGCTACTCCCGAGGAGGTTGATCTAATGATCGACGAGATCGACCAGGACAACAATGGAGAAATCGACTTTGAAGGTACGGCGCGGTGTCGGGGGATATCTTGATAGTATAGTAGCGTGTCGGCAACCGGGTTTCACATTGATTACTAATCTTGGTCGGCAAACCATGCATCACTTTGCCGATACCAACTGGATTTGCAGCCAGCCTTCTTTAGTTATTCGTAGTAGGCAGTGAGCACATATACCGCATCGCTGCTATAGAAGATGACTTGCCACGATCGCCACTTCAATCGTTTCCCCGACATGTTTATTCGAAATGCTCATTTTCTCTCCCGCATATGGTTGCGGTTCCAGCCTTGTGCCGCGCATTGCTTTGGGTTCAGCGTTGCAAATCTATGTTGGAACCTGTTGACGGCCAGCCTTGCCGAACGTCGCACCAATGAAGCAACTCGGGCTCAAACCCTGTTGCACGCAAAACAGCGCTATCGCTACTTCGTTCCAGTAGCCGAAAATTTCAACGCTCTATTGACGATCCGCAGGAAACGATGTACCCAGTTGGGCTGTAATTCATGAACTACACCACATCGTCATTTTGACGCGATGTTTCTCTTGACAGAGTTTGTGGCCGTGATGTCGCGAAAAGTTAACGCATCGTACACTGCTGACCAGGTCAAGAGCGCTTTCAAGGTGGGAGTGACGTATTGCGAGTTGGGGGACGCGTCGAGTGAGATTTGCCCGGGTGCGCTTGTCCATTTTTTGTGACCCTGATCCAGCAAACAGCGTGAAGGAGAAGTCCTTGGCTCCGCCACCCCTTCTGGGTGCTAATGTCTGTGAATACTGCTCTACAGGCGTTCAGAGAGCACTCCTCTCTCGCCAGTGCCACAAGGCTCGTCACTTGTGCCCCTAGAGCCACGCCATCGTCTACTCCACAACAGGACATACCATGTTTCCGTATCAATCTCTTGCGGATATTCCCTGATCACGACGACCACTTAAGAACGGCACTAGCATCTCTGGGCTATTGAAGACAACGGTGCCCCCCCCCCCAAAGGAGGCGCTGAATGAGATCATAAGGACACGGGCCTCTCTTAGGCGGAGTGTATCGTAGACGGACTATCGATGTCAACGCCACTCTCATCAAGAACTGGTGACGATAGTTTTGGTTTCCGGCGGGTGCGGAGAATCAAGAAATCTACGTGAACCTGTGCTTAAAGGGGTACATAGCGCATGTTGAGCGGGACCTGACTGGAGGCGGAAGGTCCCAGTCCAGCGCATTCACCGACCGTTGTGTGTTGTGCCACGTGACCTGAATCCAGGTTTTCGAAGGAAACTCCCCTCCGGGACACATCAAAATAGAATCCGTCATGAAGGCGTTGACCACCTACGGGAGCGAGCAACTCACCGAAGAGCAGGCGCACGATCTAGTCAGCCAGCTCGAGCCGGACCACAACGGCGTCGTAAACTACGTCGAGTACATCAACATGGTGCGTGCTGCGATGGACCGTGTTCGGTTACCAGCTGTGTACACCAGGAACCTGCCTCGCCACCGAATACAGGACTGTGTACATCTCATAAACGGTAGGACTCTGTGCCGTTCTTTTCGGTCTGACGCGAGGCCTCTCGAACACTCTTTACTGTTTGTCTGCATTTCTGTGGTTGGAAAATCCTGACATGAATCTTATTGCCGTTCTACGTTGGACCCTCGACAGATGATGAACGACTAGGGACTACGAGAGCGCAGGGGATTCTTGCCGCCTCCAGGGGAATGGGCCGGGCATGGGCCGCATCAGCGCCCGCAGGAGAAACGCTGGTGCTGTACTGGTCTGGGGCACCGCGATCTTGGACGTGTCATATATCTGGAACGAGCCCGGGAACTGCACGACTAGTTGTTGCCTTCGGCCGGTCGGCAGCACAATAATGGCAGCGCTCATGAACAACGTTTCGGTGGCGCAGTCACCATAAGACAATGCATGTATTGTCTCGCTTGTGTGAAGCTTTTAAATCAGCGGTAACATGGGATTTCTCATGATGTTCTACCAAGGGTGCTCGATCAGAGTCGCCTGATTCTTAGGAGGGCAACTAACCCTGTGGATTTTCGGTTGTTCAGCGATTGCCAAAAGGTTGTTTTGCGCTTGCTAAACGTCACAACGTCCTAGGGGCACCAATCAAGCATGTCTTTCGGTGTAGGACACCCTGTAGCCCTAGGCGCCGATGAGAAGTACCGTAAAGTGCGGCATTGCTCTCCGCTGCATTCAAAGCTTACTCTGTTCACGACACTGCGCTGAGGCGGTTGCGAATGAGCTGCGCACGCTGCCAACGACAAGCTTCGTCGAATCGTTTGCTCGTCCTAAACTACATATATTACTCCCTTTACACCGATGGCCCCATGATGTCAAGGAGCCTTTCTCTACCGTCTACCTCCCACTCGCGTGGCGACAACAAACGTCCAACTACATTGGTCAAACGCTCCGCTACCGCTGTCACACAGAAACAGGATATCTCTCGCTGGCTCTTGAGGAGCCGCACAGCTTTTTTTCGGGGAACAAAATTCCTCCTCTCGGTGCGCGCATGCACACGCGGCCAATGAAAGTTTTCGACTACTGGCGTGCAAACAGCGTCTCGCATCATGACGATGACACACCAAATATGAAAAAAGATGACGAGAAACTCTTGGAGGATCAGCACGCGATGGCCTGAGGCAAGCTGCGTTCCATTGTCAATCGACTATAGGCGCGCGTGCAAACAACGACACTAGGGCAAAACGGGCACACGCACGATCTCACTCACACTACTGCACATACCGTGATAGTATCCCACAAACAAGCCATATGCTAACCACTGATATTGTCGACCCCTTCTTCACTAACAACCACACATTGATGCCGTACCGGCTTGTACCCACGAGGGACTTCCTGATTGACCCTCCCCCTGAAACGCTTCAGTTACAACACCGTTGCGTCAAACAGGTACTGCACATAAACATCCCTGGTCCCAAACACAATGAATTGAAATGGCATAGGGACGAAGCAGTTGGGCTGCTATGTACATAACTGCAATTTCGAACTTTCCCGAAAAATAGAAACATGACACAGAACAGGTACTGATAGGCCGAGAATAGCTATCCTGGGTCGCTACCTGCAATTTCGTACTTACCCGAAAAATAGAAACATGATACCAACATTGGTAGGCCGAGAATAGCTATCGTTCCATGGCCTACCGCATACGCTTTCGAGAGTAAAAAAAAACACTCTGATCACATGCTGTAAAGGCCGTCCGCGTGAGTCGACTTTCACTTCTTGTTCAACGCTCCCCTCAGCCAGTCGAGACCATCGTATACTCCCTCGCCCGTGACCGCACAGCAGCCCTGAATTTGCCGGCACGCACAGAAAGGAAGCGGCCGAGATGCGGGGAGTATTGCTCAGCATAGTGATACGCTGCAGCCATATGTCGGTACCTCTCGTCTGGGGGTAGCCATTTTCTAGAACGATATGATCACCCGCTCAGCGCACTCATCCGCATGTTTTCTCTACCGCAGAAATAACATCTTTGGGATGTGTCCCGTTCAACTGCGTGTCCAACCAGGACGGATTAAAGGGGGCACGGGTGAGACTTGGCTGTACATAAATGGAAAAGGTGTTTCCAAGCCACTTTCAGTAGCACTTGCTGTCTTGTCAAGAAATGAGGACAGTGGCCATTCTACAGGTGCATACCGAGCTCTACATCATCTCCCAGAGTTGAATCAAACAGGAGTACAAAACGCAATGTCTTTACAGGGGGTTCGAGAAGGTTACAGAATACACGATACTTCAAAAGTTCATCTATTGCTTGAAACGCATCTAAGTTTTAGGGTGCTCCGGGTAGGCTTATTACCTGCATGTACCAATTGCGCTTCATGAGCGGATTGCGTCCCGCGCCGTCCAAGCCGAGCTTGCTGCGCATGGCGCTAGGGCTGATCGCACCGGGAAGGTCCTGAGAGGAGGGGGGGAGAGGCACGGGCGAGGAGAGTGAGGGCAGGTTGATCGATTGGTCTTGTAGCAAGGAAAAGAACGGGATTGCTGCTTTTCGGTGTCAGAAAAATCAACTTCCTTCAATGTTGTGCAAATGAGCGCTTCCTAAGGAGTACGAGCGTCTGGCGTTTGTTTGCCATCAACTTGTGAGAGAACCGATCCGATGTGCACGAGGAAATATACCGCCCAAAGCTAGGATCTCCTCCTCCCCCAGTGTAGCCCAAGCTAGAATAGAACCCACAACCAACCTTTTCACCGCAATAGCAATTACCTGCTTGTTAAGGAGAATGAGGACAGTTTGGCAGCCATCCATGTTAGGGTCCTGCAGTATGTGGAACAACTCGTCCCTCGCTTCCTCGATGCGTTCATGGTCGTTAGAATCCACGACGAAGATCAAGGCGTCGGTGTTGATGAAATAGTGGTGCCAGAGCGGCCGTAGCTTGGTTTGGCCCCCGATATCCCTGGCAGAATATTCAACAGAAAAGAGGGAAAGAGAATTTGGGAGGGTCAGGGGTGACACATGGACATTTGTTGTTGGGCTTATTGCAAGAACAAGAATATCGAAAAAAAGCACGCCGAATTTGGAAGCAATAAGTTTATACCGGCCCGAACTGCTTTCCTAGCACCAACTTTGCTCCACTCCGCCATTTCTACGACCTATTTTAGGCTGAAAAATGGATGGGGGGAGGGGGGAAGGGTAAAGGAAAGACCATACTGTGTCGCACTCCTACTACTGCAATACGGACCGCAGGAACACACAGTGCAGAGTGTTTTGCCGCTACATCGCCCCTCACCAGATAGTCATCATCATCCTGTTGTACTCGACCCGTTCGACGTTGAAGCCGATGGTGGGGATGGTGGTCACCACCTCATTCAAGTGAAGCCTGTACTGTTGACATCAAGTAAAATCATAGCAGAATGATATCGATTGTTATTTTTCCAGATGGTCGTGGCACGCCTCCACAAAACAAGGTCAGAAAACGAGCACATACACGGTGTTTAGTTCTGCTGATTGTGTCGAGCACGTTTTTCAAGATGAAAAACACCAAACCATGCGCCTTGGGGGTAAGCCCCGGCAGCTGATGAGTTCTGAGAGATGAAAGGGGCAGACTATCACGCGGTATCACCGTAGTGCGAGACAAGAACTATGCGGACCCAAACCACGGCCAATCTATTTTGGCTCGATGCTGTTGTGTGAGTACTCAATCGACGATTTCATTTCATGCCCAACAGTACCATCCAGCCACTCCCGGTATTTCTTCACCATAGCAATAACGCCCCTCGTCTCCCCTCTAGTAAAAACTCACCAAAAGAGAAGTCTTGCCGGCAGCGTCCAAGCCCAGCAGCAGAAGGCGCTTCTCCTGGAGAAAAGTCATGACAAACAAGACAAAAACAGATGTGCGTGACGATGTATCACCTCAAAACAGATTAGAAAGTCGGTCGGACTCTTGACACATTGTCCTACTCATCATGCATGTTGCATGCATCCCCAAGCTGCTGAACGCCCCGTTTTTTCGATTCTCGCCTACAGTATCTACAAGTTCATGCAATCTGTTGTTTGTTGACGACAGAGCACAGGCGCACAAGGCATGGACCGGCAGCTCGAGGGGACGAAGACATTGCTCGAGGATAATTGAACCGCCATTCGAGAACTAGCTATGTCGGCTTTATCTATCATCAGGAGGGTGAACCACTCACTCTCTGTTGATTCTATCTGTACACACCTGGAGGCCGTTGAGGATGTTGGCGAGACGAGCGATGATCTGCCCCATGCTTGCTGTTGGCGAAGACAAATGTCAAGAAGGGGATGGATTCGCTACTGCTGTGTAGTGTGGCGAACGTGCGCGGCAGACTACGGCAGCTGTTGAAGTGTACTGTGCTGGTGTGTAGCTTGTTGGTGTGCTGGGGATGTTGCGGTAGTGTGTGGGGGGGTGGAAGATCATGTTGAGATGCTGGAAGCGAATTTGCCAATTGCGGCGCAATTATCATTCGTTCGTCGCTTTTGGCCAATCAGATCGCGCCAGTTCAAACATCATACATCATCCAGCTCTATTTTCTTGCGGACCAATTACATCGGTACACCGCATCAGATCGGCAACCAACTCATGGACAATGCGTTTGTGCTTCGTTTGCCGTACAGCTAGAGTGTAGTGCACGCTCAATACTACTGAAGCCCCGTCACGTCCCCTGTCCCACACACCACCGCATCGACACCCTCAAGACCTGCAGCAGTAATAGGAATTGCCTTCTTGACATCAACTGCAAAATGGACGTCCTCTACGAAAGCCAACACCTCGTCAAACAGCTCGGTGTGCTATTTCGGAACATCGTCTACCCAGCAAGCACGCCCCTCCTACCTCTTTACTCCGATCGACCCGTCGCCACCGCCCAGCCCTCGTCATCGCCGGGCCATCTTTTTCACCAGCGGCGACAGCATCATCAAGAAGAGCAGCAGCAACAACAGGCCCTCCACTCGTCGATGTCTGATCACCCGCCGTGTGGATCCCGCATACAACCACTCTCGATAACAACGAAGATCAGTGATCGCCTCGTCTCTCTTTCCAACATCGTTTGCCAGAAAAGCGAGCCTCTCTTGCCTCTACAAAGCAGCACTCCCAGCCACCCCTGCTCCACCTTCAGCTCATTCCCCGCGGCCACCGCGACCCCCGTCTTCTTCCGATCTCCATACGCCCATCACCCGGAGCTGGTCCAGCGGCAGCAGGAACGACACCCCTTGTTCGACCGGCCGTTCCCGTTGGACCAGCTTCCGGAGGATGTCCTACCCAGCGTGCTGGCGTTCTTGCCGGCAAGAGAGCTGTCCGGCATGCGAAGGGCGAGCCAGAGGTTCCTTCAGGAGGTCGACCATCATGGCGACGCCCTGTGGCGTAGCCTTTGCCGCTGCGAGTTCCCGTCCATGGCGTCGTCACCAACGGCAGCGGCAGGGGTTCGAGAAGATAAACATTCATACCTCTCCCATCACCACCAGGTCCGTGCTTTGGGATTGTGTTCCATACTCGGCAAGTGCCGCTTGTGCTATTTTCCCTCCACATCGCTTGTAGTAGCGCCGTTGTGTGAAGTGTAAAGCTGTCGGCGCATTGACGATAGAAGTTTGGGGCGAAAACTGTGACAGCGCGAGGGGTTACTGCCTCAACACTCGCTGCGTCATTTTTGGCCAGATATTCAAACGATCTGTATTTTTCCCACCATAGTCTACCCAGATAGGCCCAACGTCGTCCTGAAGCTCTCTCTCTTTCTCTCTGCCACCAAAAGCACGTTGTCGACGTCAGCCCTCCGAATGTGATTTTTAGGTGCTACTTTTTATATTGTTGCTCGTACTACATAAAAGGACAGTGTTTTCCTCCGCTCGAGCGCAAAATAGTGTCGGAGGAACGCATGTCGCAGCCGCTCAGCAGTCCCTTCAAACACCACAAGAATTGTTGAACGACCGCTCATACTTGCGTCCAGACGTCGCCCAAAAGCTCACACTCGTGTACAACCGTTCATCGGTTTAGATTCGCTTTCTGTATTTTTCCGAAGATAACGTCCTTTCCCAGCCTACATCTCGGCCTTCACACCCTCGTGCTTGGACATGGTCCGTTGATGGGGGTCCCTTGGGCAGAAATAGATACCAACAAGCACCAACGCCACGTGCCAAGTACCTGGCATGGACGCATCAGTCCCGGGCAGGTAACAGTCGTCGTCCTGTCCCTTTCGCGATTCACTACTCTGCGCGTCTTCGTACGACCCCACTCAAATCCCTCGCAGCAATACGTCAGCAACGTCATGCACCGGGCGAATGACCAAGTGCTAAACCTCCGCTCCAACCGCCACCTCCGCAAGCGACTCTACAACTACACCTGGGGAAACAAAGACCCCCAAAAGAGCAGCAGGACGATCAACATGACGAGCGGCAGGGGCGACACGGCCTCGGTCAGCGGCAGGATCGGCAGTACCAGCGGCAGCTTTCCAGGCGGGAGCACCGGAGGCAACGGCGGTGACGGCAGCGGCGCCGTAATCGGCCTCCTGTCCGACCTCGTTACCGTTCCGGACCCACGCATCGCCCGCGCCCTGTCCTTCAAATGCCGATTCGTCCTGTCCAGGGTAGTCGTTGTCAACGACAACGTCAGCTCCAGCATCCGTCGCAGTGGCCTGTACACGGAACGCGTCGAATTCTTGTCTCTCAGCGCGCTTCGCCAGGAAAGCCCCTCCGTGCTGCCGCGGCCGCCGCCGACCGTCAGCAATGACACAGCTGCTGTCGCTACCGCTTCACGCTCAGGGGGGAGGCGCACCGACAATGGTGGCGGTTGCCGGGAGGAGGTAGAGGCCGGTGCCAATCTCCTGCCTCTGGCGCCGGAGACGCCCGCCCCGGCTGGCTTCCTCGGGTACGCCGTACGGCTGTTGCAGCTGCGGCCTGGGCACGAGTCGCTACGGTGGACGGTGTTGTTGGCGGTCTTCAAGGATTTGGCGGTGTTCGAGACTTCCGAGCAGGTGAACATAATTCGCCTTTTGAGTGTGCATAATATTGTAGCTGTTGGAAAAAAATTTGTGGGTCACCACCCTGCCGCCCATGCACGTAGGATGCTGTTACGTTTTTCGATAGCACCCGTTCTGGCGGACCGAGTCGGTCCAACAAGGGTGGCGTACGCTCTCCTAGTTATCCGCGCCGAAGCTCTGCTGTCCCCCTCTTCGTAGGGTGAATGACGCGTCACCTCTTGTAGTTATCCCCTACACAAGGCTCGAAACGCTTTCCCGTCTCTGCCCCCAACGTTCAACTTCAGGCGGAGGTTGTGCGCGCCCGTATGGCAAACCAACGGCTGTTCTACTGCGCGCTCGATCGTCCTCGGGGCCAAGGCCACCCGTCTCCTGCGGCCTTACGGGTGTTGCCGCATATCAGTCACTGGGGTTTTCAACAAGCACCTGGTCGCGTCGGCGGAGGTGGTGGTGGCAGAGGCGGGGGCCATGTGGTGGGTTCCACTTCCTTTGGGGAGGAGGACGTTGATGACGCCGTGGAAAGGCAGGAGAGGATCGCTTGTCTGGCCAGCAGCTCGTTGGAGGCCCTCAAGTGTGGCAGACAGATGTAATGACAAAATCATGCGGATTGGCCTTTATTCTGTGTCGAAGAAAGAGCTTGGAGGTTGACATTGGCGCTCCATATGGTTTTGGGTGATGTTCTGACCTTGCTGAGGCATTCGTCTCTGAAAAGAATGAAATTGTGTCGCCACACGCGGATCGGGGCGAATCGGTGGCGTCCGCAGTCTGTAGTGAGGGGGGGGGGGGGGGGTCACGAACACGTTGTCGGTGTTGGGGTGACCGCCCGAGCCGGCGTGACGACGTTTTAGCTTGAGTATTCCTGCCACTCGTTGTTCTTCGGGCTCTAGAATGAGGAGCCCGACATCGAACTACAGACCGATTTCGACATATGTTTAGTCCCCGCTTCTGGGGGACTTTCGTTCGGGTGTTTTTCTACGTTGCCAAGGAACAGTGACGAGAAGCGGGATCAGAGGTTTGGGTGCATGTGCTGGCACGCAGAGAAAAGAGCGCAGCTTTTGTATCCACGCGTCAAAGAAAATAGCATGACTTCATATATAGGGCAGAGGTGTAGGTTAGCATACCGAGTGCAAGCGACATTTACCCGAAGGAGTAGAACGGATCCTACTTTCCCTTCCGTTTTACTGATCAGGCTTTCCTTTTCACGTCACCTCTCCGCGTACATAGAAGTTATTTGCTTTCCACAAAAAAAGAGGACGCGCATTTTTACTCTCGCGCATGTTAAGGGAAGCGCCGAGAACGGAAAACTGTTAGCACCGAAATGCAGCGGCAATGCGAACCATGTCTTCCAGGGCTACTCCTGCGCAAATGAGTTATTTGGGCTGTCCTGTGCCGTAGGCGACCCCAATCGGTGCAGGAGGCTTCACTCTACACGTTATTCTTTACAAACCATCACAGCAAATGCTACACGTTCGGGATAGTACCCGCGATGGATGTGTTCTACACGGGATTGAGGAAACCCTGCTGGACATTATCCACGTTCCACGCGAAGAACCTGACTTCGTACGTTTTTCAACAAAGGGCATACTCAATCGCCTCCTCTTCTCCCCAGTTGCTGGTTGGATATCCAACACACACCCCAGCTCTTATTCTCAACTGAAGATCAAAATGGATTAATTCAGCGAGTGTTTTCCGGAGAGTGGACGGGGCGAGAAAAAGAATCTGAATGGTACCGCCCGTGTTGGTGATGATGGCTGTGCTGGCTTCTGCTGCTATTATTCCTACTATCCCTGTGATTTGGGGAATGGCGATGTGATCCCGACCCTGGTACAAAGGGAGGGCAGATTCCTCTCTGAAGCTCCTCGAGAAGGGCTTCCGCCGTCTCCGCTCTCTGCCTGGAACTTTTCAGTCCGTCTGTCAGCCGCTCGATCGCCTGTTCGATGTTTTGCATGTGCGTGAAAACAGTCAAGAGTGTGGAAAGAATAGTTCCACAGGCAAAGTTCGTGTAGGCGCCAAACAACCACGTGTTGTTGTCAGAGCTTTCGGTGTCGCCCGTTCCTCAATGCTGAAAAAATTAGCACCGTTTCGATGTGTTATTGGTGCGTTCCGTCCTTTGAAAGTTTTGGGTGCTACACTACATGACTCCTCGAACACAGCAGCACGTTCATCCCACCGAAATTAACGCGGAACATGTCACGCTGACGAACATACACCTCCTCGGAACAAAAGCAACACATCCTTCTTGCATTTGTGATTTGCGGTCTGAACAAGTATGTACGATACGCGCCTGGTCTTTGACGCCGACGATTGATCGTACGCGCTCATCTACTGTCCGGAGCTCCTCCTTCCACTGAACCGCACGAAACGAAATCGAGAAGAAGGAACGGACAGCGATCCGTCAGCGTCAATCGAAAGCCGCATCCCAAGTATGGTGTATGGTAGCAAAGTTGGCTCGAGGAATATTGCTGGACCGACGCAAGCATGTATAGGCCGTGGCTGTCTAGCGCGCTTCTTCGTCTTCGATTCTACCTTGAAGTACACGGAAGAACACGCACCGGTTACAAGATCATGACGCAGGCTCAAAGAGGCATCGTATGTGTGAACCACGCACGCTATTTGCAGTTTAACGTGCTCCCCATTGATCGAGTGATTCATCCAGCAGCATTTTGACATCGAACTGCCACACCGTGTGGTAGCAAGCTACACCTGCGCCTTGACTGTGAGCAGCTCCGACGCGTGAGCTTCTCTCTCCTTTTCGTGCGAGGCTTTGTCTTCTTCTAGGCGGCGGGCCAATCGCCGGGCTCGCTTCTCCAGATCTTCCTTCAGCTCTTTCACCGCCGCGTTCTGGGTCTGCATGGAATTCATCATTATGTGCGCGGGGCGGTGGCACGACGCCACAAAGCAAGAGTCGAAGCCTGACACCCAGGCGCAGGGTAGTTTGTCTGTGATCGTGCTCGCTGTGAAAGGAACGGGAGAAGACCATCTGCGTGAACATGCGTACCGTGAAGGATGGCCGTTGTCTGTTCGATCAGCTTTCCAGAGAAGCAGCAAGCAGAGACTGGGGTGCTAAAGGTCATTCGAACTTGGAGCATGATTCAAGCATCGATCTATTTCGCAACTCGTCCTGCCGGAGTGGCGCAGAGGTGACAACGATGCTCAGGTGTCGAAAGATAGTGTTGATGATAATTCATACGAATGTCCTCCTGCAAAAGAGTCCTTTGCGCGTGTTCACCTGCGACAGATGTTCCATCCTCCGGTTTCGCTCCGCCGCTTCCGCTAGCTGAGCCTCCAAGCGACGGGTCGTAGCCTCTGCGCGTTTACAGCAGGCGAGATCGCGTGTGTGTCGAGACAACGATACACCGTTGTGTACTTTTTTCCACACCCCCAGGCGTGACGTGCTCCGTCCCGGCTTTGTAGGGATGCAAGGTCAATGGTCTAATGTCCACGGCATGCACGGCTATGAGTACACCCCCCCCCCCGAGCGTTGTGTTCACCGGATACCACGGACTGCAACCCCATTTTGAACGGTGGTATGTAGGCAGGTTCGATCCATGCGCCCCCCCCCCCCCAAACACACGTGTAGCGTCTCTAGTCAAAGGTGCATCATTTAACGAGGAGGGTTTAGTGTGCTGCTGCTTCTCACCCAATCGAAATGCCTTTTTTTGAGCGGTGGATAACAATGCGGCGGATTCCTCGCTCTTCTCCAGCGCAGCGGCCATTCGATCAGCATACGCCGCCTCGAGCGTTTCTTTCACGCTGCTTGCGTGTTGTTCCGAGTCTCGGCGCAGGCGAGCTGTCGTCCTAGGTTTTCGGTTTGGGGAAAAATCATTCGGACGTCGTCGTTGAAGCAGGCACGAGAAACGTGCCGAAACGCGGATGTTTCGAGCCACCGGAAGCTGAAGACTTGTGGGTGAAAGCCCGGTAATTGGTGTTCCGGGCATCAGCTTCTCAACGACTCTTCGTAGGACGCAGACAGTAGAACGGCACCCCCATGGGCAGCTGCATGCGTTTCATTCATCCCCAGCTATGTCGAACCTATTTTTTTGCGGCCACATCTAATCTGCGTCCGTACCGCTTTCGACAACGCCATTCTCCACCTGGCAATCTCCCGCTTTGCCGCCGCCGCCGACTCATCCCGGTGCGCCTTTGCCCACAGCTCCTGCGCCTGCAATCAACGCGTACCGGCCGCACACAGGGTCGAGGCTGCTTTGTAAGTGCAGACATAGTGCTTGAGGAGTCAGGAGCCCACGGTCTGCCGTGTTGCTTCGTCCCCAGCGACCAGTGCTTAGGTGCTTGAGCAGCAGGAACCCCAACCCCATATCGTCCCACTCCCAAAAAATTGGGGTTGGCTCCAATTGTGGAAAAGTGAAGGGCAAAGGAAGTATCCCTCTGCTCCGTCGGAATCTGTGTGCATCAAATTACACCGCTCACCTCTTGGGCCGCCCGGAGCTGTGCCTTCGAAGCTTCCCGCTCCTCCACCACGGCGGCGCGGGTGCGCTCTCGTTCTTCCTCCAACCGTTCCTTCAGGTTCGCCAGGCTACGCGCGTGTTGCCTCTCCCGCTCGCGCTGGCTGTCGCTCAGCTTCGAGACCTCTTGCTTGTGGAGCTCCCAGAGAAGATTGGCGTGCCCCACCCACTGCACGGGTGCGGAGATCGAGGACGGTGCCGTGTTGCAGCCAGAGCGCGACAATGGTTGATTCGACGCAGACTGATTGTCGCCGTTTGCATGTACGTTACGTCGCGCATCACTCGCGTAGATAGCAATACTACCAGTTTCGCCTCGGCCAACCGAGCGCGGAGACCTTTCTGAGTCACTTGCTTCATCACCTCTCGAAACACGATCTCCGCTTCTTCTAGCCAGGCCTTCCTCCGCCGTCGCAGCCGAGTCGCCTCGTCCACCAGCTGGTTTTCCCTGATACATTCACAAACGTTCACACATTGATCGAAGGAGCACGAGCACTAGAAATCGTGTTCCCGTGTGTTTCTGTCCCGATACAAGATGCGTATTTAGAGATTTTTTTCATTGATTGGCCGCATAGCGCGGTCGATGCTGCCACAGCAGTAGTTGAAGAAGCACAAAGGCGCCCATACTGTATGCACAGGGAGCGGTTGTCGGAGCTTCGACACAGTCAGCAAATCCGCTAACAACACCAAGGTACTTCTACGGTCTTCGAATATTTTACCGTACGAAGAGAGGGTCGCCATGTGCCGGGGGCTGACAGAAAAACAAGCGAACCCCATTTTGCACCGTCGTCCCTTTTGTTGTGGCATGCAGATTCAGACCACCCTTCAGTACAGCTTTGCCTTTCAAAGCTCAAAGAAAGCCTTGAGTCTACGATTGGTGTGCTATTTCCCATTTATTCTGGCGCCCAGCCTACACGCCTGTTGGTGTAGTCTAAATGTTAGCTGTGCATGCCTTAAACCACGTACGCGAGAAGGACTAAGCGTGGTACAGGCGCCCTTGCGTACAATCAAAGTGCTCGCGAACAACAGCCAGGTTCTCTCCCGAGCGAGCACGAATTGCGGAGTGGTAAAAAATTATCGACCGAAGTTCAAGAGCCGCTAAGTTAGATATTGTCGAGGGTATCACCTCAGGACCATGGGCATGTGTGAGCAGAGATCGGCAACATCAAGAACAAGCGTGCATCCCCTGTGTACTGTAGTCTGCTGGAGCCTTTAGTCTACACCAGTAAAAACCTGTGTGTTGAACCTCATTTCCCGACGCAGGATCCGCTCGGTTGAATTACATGTAGTTGGGGACCAATACACCGTCTCCTGGCGAGCAGCCGGCCACGGCTTACGGGACTAAATTTCTTACCTCCCCGGCTTAAGACCCGCCGTACGTATGCTCACGACAAGCGCCTGCTCCAGAGCATCGACATCGTTCGTCGGCGGGATGTCTCTTGGTGGCGAAGGCGGCTCCCTGAGACCGTTAACCACAGCAGTGGCCCTCCTCTCCACAGACGCCCTAGCACTAGTCCGCTTACTACGGGTGCCCTGCGCTGGTGGACCACCACTACTGCTTCGCACTCGGTTTCTCGGTGCCGGCCCGAATCCCCCAGCACTGGAGGGCCTACTCGTGGCCCATGACATGACGTGAATGAAGATACGTGAGATATCCTTGTTTTTATTGGCGGGGCGCCGTTGATTTGCAAACCTGAAGATATGGGTATGTGGGTTATCCCAGCATTGGGTGCCCCCCGGTCGCATTTGGTTGGTCTGCCGCACAACACTCCGTCGGATAGATAGCAAGAGCTACATACGAATGGGCGACACGCAGCAAGTAGACCGAGAGGTGGAGCATCTTAGGGTCGTCATCACCAGATTAGGCTCTGCTCAGCCGGACGGGAAAAGTGAGAACGCTGCCGATTGATTGCCATGTAGAAGATCATCCAAGCCGCCGCCTACAGCAAGTACATCAGTACCGTTGTAGTAGCGGACCTGCATCCGGTGTAGTTTCACGGGAACTCTTACATAGTGCTGTTCTCAGGGTTATACACGTAGAGGCTAGGGCAGCAGCAGTGCTCGTAGCAAAGACCGGCATAACTCACGTAGTCCTTTGGTGGTACAACATGCTATTGTCCAAGAGGCGCTCATGATGTGCCTCAAAACATTGGATGTACGGATTTTGCCGAACCGTCACACAAATATCCAGCAACGTGTTCAGCCGTAGCGTGCTACGACATATGCAACCATGTGTGTGTAGCATCCATCCGAATCAACGGCTGTGTGAACACATCTTACCGTTGATTCGACAACATGTCACATAGTTTGGTTCACAACAAAGTCCCAACAATATCTGCACATGAAGTTGTTGAGAGAGATACTAATAAGGCCACTTGTTAAGCTGTCCTTTTTTGGGCTGTCCCTTTTCTCAAAAAGGGACGAACCAAAAAAGAATCTAGCAAAAAGATGACCCACTTGTTACGGTGCTGGTCGATCCTTTTTGCTCATCCGCCAAAAAAAATGACCCTGCAACAAGTGCAACGGCCGTTCGTCACACAATAAGTACCTTGGCACCGAGTTGGTTTTTCGGTGATATCTCCGCACAGAGCGAAGCATCAGCAACTGTAAAGCTATCCCCCGCGAGCTGGGTGCTTGGTCCGCCTTGTGTGGCGGCTGATCGAGACCACAGGGCAGTGGGAGGCACGGCAACTGAGGTGGCGAGAGTCAACAGCACCTTGAAAAACCCCACCGCGCCAACAACCAGCTTTGTTTGCTCTTTTTTGCCCATGCCGCAACTTTGGTTCATGGATGCTCCCTCGCCACACACTGAAACAACAGCGATGACAAAGGTATCCGCCACGAGCTATGTGTATGGTCCGTCTTGTGTAGTGGTTGATACAGACCAGAAGGCTGACGGGCGGTCAGAGGTTGTGAGCCCGAGAGTGGTGGACAAGCGGGAAAAATGACCCGCCGCGTCTCCAAGCATATTTTTTGTTCTTTTTCCCCGTGTTGCAACTTTGGTTCATCGATGCTCCCTCGTCACACACCGAAGCAACAGCGATGACAAAGGTATCCGCCATGAGCTGTGCGTCTGATTCGTCTTGTGTGGTGATTGATACAGACCAGGACGCTATAGGTCGCCCAGAAGTTGGGTTCGCAAAAGTTGACTGTGCACCAAAAAGACCCACCGCTGCTGCGTCCAGGCTCTTTCGGCTCGTTTGCCGCTTGTTTGCCGCACACATCGGGTTGTCCACCTGGTCAGCCGAATGACAACATTACGTCTATCGCCGAGGCTACTGACTCCGTACCAGTCACATGACACGACTCGTGCGAATACCGTTAGAGTTTGCGGGGATCATCCGTCGAGATATTCAAGTTTGTGGGCAAGTGTCATGTGTTGTGACAGAAAAAGGACAACAAAAAAGGACCGTCCCATCCTGTCACAAAGTTGCCCAAAAAGGGACAGGATGGGGCGATCTTTTTTCGCTGTCCCTTTTCGGGAGGTTCAAAAATGCAAAAAAAGACCACGTAACAAGTGGTTCTTGGTCAGTTGTCCCTTTTTGAGAAAAGGGACAGCCCAAAAAAGGACAGCTTAACAAGTGGCCTAAACACGGTTTTTCACAACCTGTTTTTTTTTTTTTTCTTAATATGACACGACGAAACCATCTCTATCATTGAAAAGAGTCTGAGACAGATTAGCAATGGATTCATAGCGTCAGAAAGTACCTGTATGTCTACGATTTCCCAGACAGCACATAGGGACATCTCCCCTGCGGGTAACAGGCTCAACAAGACAGTTTGGTAGCTGTCTTGTGTGTCTCATATATTTTTTAAGACGGCACGGAACAACTTTTGAGCAAGGATCACACCCTTGAATTGCCTCAATCTTGAGACCAGCAGGCTATTTTTGGTGTGAAGCTCTGTACGCGTACCTATCGGATTTAGTATTGTGCCCTTGGGCTGCGCTCAATTTGTCACCTCATATCCTCATATGCCAGGGGGTCATCGCCAGTCATGAGACCATTTACTTCGTGTCCCAGATGAAAACTTCTCCCCCGACCGACCTTCCACTTTGAAGTCTCCCGCTTGACAACATCAGCCGCCCTTGTCCTGACAAACGAAGACTGCTGTTCATCAACACAACAGCACTCCAAGTTTGTGTGTATTGTGTGATTTGGTGGCTTGGTTGGTCTCTCCGTGGTTGGGACACGCTGGCCGGCGTACGTAACGGCCGGCGCCCTTATTCTGTCCACCTATACTACTGTAGGCGTCCACAGGATGAAACAAACCGCATCAACATCCGCATCCGCATCCGCATCCGCATCCGCAGTCCACACTTTTCTTTGTGTCCTAGCTTTTGCCTCGAGAAATTAGTTGCGCCAATCTCTTGAGCCAAACGTGTCTCTTTCCGAGATCTCGCCCCCCCCTCATCGTCCGAGCTGCTACCGTGCGTGATTTATTGCCGTCACGATTGCCGCAGTCGGGGTGTCGTTCGGCAATCTCTTCGACGACGAGGAGGGCCAGCAGTTCTTCGAGGCCATCGTGGGGACGCTCCGCGCAGCCAAGAAACGCGGCGTGGTGGACTTCAAGGGGCAGGTGCGTGGGAACGCGCTCCGCTTTTTTTTTTGGGGGGGGGGGGCGCGTACCCTTATGTTTTGCATGCCTTAGCGAATAGACCATTGACCACGCTTCCTCGAGAGGACGGGGCATTGTTCCCACAGGACCGATCATTGATGGCCTATCACTGCCTTTCGGGGGGGTTGGAAATGTCCTTTGGGGTAGAAAAATGGGCTCGCACAAAGGAGCGAGCGCCTTGATGTAAGCGCCGAGAGTTACACTGCGAGAGGGACAGACACTCGACGCTGACCTGACTTTGGTCGTTTTGGGAGGGGGCTGGCGTTCACAAAGCAAGCACAGAAGCGTATGGCCAGCACACAGGTATTCTCGTCGTATGTTGTTGTATTCGATGTTTGTGCGCAATAGTGTGTCGTAGTGACGGTACCAGGTTATGGAAGTACACAGCTCTGGCAAGTGGATGATAACCCCAAACCTCTTTACGCCCCCCCCTTGGTTTCCATGCGCAGATGCTGTTGAAGGGGGCGCACGACGACGTGATCATAACTTTGCTCAAGCCAATCGACGCCTGAGCAACTCGAGCTGCCGGAAGAGCGTGCACCAAATGCGGAGCATACTTCCCGGATAATAATAAAACAAGACGATCTTTTTGCGAGCTTGGCTGCGTGACACAGGCAGCCGCTGCTCTCACCTATTGGTTGCTTGCTCCTTGAGCAAATATTTTATACCTGAATTGATTGTTTTTTGTAGTGTCGGGCGTGGTACGTTGTAGAGCACAAACAAGGTTGCTTTTGTCGGCATCCTGGCCGAGGAGATGAGCGCGGCGGTGTCAAGCGGGGCAGCTTCCGGTATCGGCGAACAAGAGAAAGAACGCCAGGACGCTGCCGCCACCTTGGACGAGATAGACGGCTGCCTTCGCCGGTGGAAAGCCGCGCGGCACGAAGGCCAGGCGGTCCTGACGGACCTCAGCAACGCTCTCCTGCTTCGGACATACGTGGACAAAGGAGGTGGTGGTGGTGGTGGTGGGCGTGCCGCCACCGATGGTGCGGTGTGGGGCGCTCTGGCGGGTGCGGGGACGACGGTTTCACGTGTGTCGGTCGCCACCGAGCACCGCGCTCGTCGCCTCCACGGCGACCTGAGCGCTCTGCAAGACGCCATGGTCGCCGCAGCGGGGGAACTCCGCCGGCACGCCCGAGAGGTACGGCGGCGCTGGGTGTCTGCACGGGCGGGAGGGGAGGACCACCGCACAAGCGGTAGTAGTAGCGGCGCCAAGGCAAGGGTGGAAGCGGCAGATGCAGTAGCCGTTGCGGTGCAGGACGGCGATGGTGCCGGGTGCGGCAGCGGGGCTGGCGGCGGCGGCGGCGGTGCGGCGGTTGGAGGCGGCTACGCGCTCGTGGACGTCGCCGACACCACGTCTCAGGTCGCCGAGATGCTCATGAAGGAAGCCTTGGTCACGGCCACCGTAGTGCAGGGAGTTGGCCAAGAGCACGGCAGGGACGATAGGGAGGCGCTAACCGTCTACGCCGCGGCTTGGATGATGCAGCCGTATGTCGACGCGGGGCGGTTGAAGGAGCTAGAGGTTATGGTCGGAGGGCAGGGAAGGGGAAAGCGCGGCTGAAAGATTTTCAATTTTTGTGCAAGGCGCTCTCTCTGTCTCTCTCTCTCTCTCTCTCTCTCGGTCCCTGTTCTAAGCCCCGGCTGTGTGTTGCTGGTGGACAAGTTTTGTCCAGTAAGGTGGTATGTCTCTGTTTCTATGTTTCTATGTGTCGCAAATAGCTTTACGACACAGTTTGTTTCAGACGAATCTTACCGATTATTGTTTCAAGTCTCGCGCACAAGTGTTCACGTCGTGCTATACCTGCTACGCGGACGCGCGCAGTTTTAGTTTCCCTTAAAACGGTGAAAGTTCACGACGCAGGGGGGCACTTCGTGAGCTTCATTTTCATGACAGAGTAGTTGTTGTGTGGAAGCAATATGAGGCGTTCTGTGGACCAGTATATTCGTGTTGTTGATTTGGTCCTGTGCTCGATGATTGTAGGGTAGGCGATACCCAAAGTATGTTGCGCAACGAAACTGGGGCGCCAGCGTTGTAGGACGTGCCGCTTGATGATACATATGACATCACGACTGCCGTAACCTCGAAGGTACCACCGTGCGTGGACGGAAACCATATGGTATGATGGCCTGTTAAGTGAAAAATGCGTGCAATCCTCCATCGTAGGACAGATATTTAAAGGGCTCTGCTGCGCCAACAATCTTATCGCGAGAGACGAAGACCTCCACGCGGAAGGATCGGTCATAATCGGTACCACTCAAAACTCGCCGATGTGTGCTTACGCAAACCCGACACATTTTGCAAACACAAGATACGGTTTCAGTTGGCCAAAGCGTGTGGCGGGAGGTATTGCTTGAACACCCCGGCCGTGGTGAGGAATTCGGTTGCTGGGGGGGGAAGGTGTACGGTTCAATAGTTTGATTCAAGTAGGGTCGCGGTCCTGAAAGGTACTGTAACTCATTGGGAGCTCGATCGAGACGATTGATCAAAGGTGACTTGGTACTTGCATAGTACTTAATGGAATCGATGAAACGTCTCGCCATTGCCTTCCCAGGCCCCGGATAAAAAAATAGTCGAGAGAGGGCGAGCACCGTTTATCTCCCCCCGTTTTCCGCGCTGGTTTTCCAGAAGAATATGCAAACCCCACAGACGCACTAGTCTACTGGTATGCTGTATGCGGCCATCCACAAGAAGAGCAAGGCGGCATGAAGCGTTGAAGGCACAGGACAGGGCACATGATTTTTCTTTCTATGCATGCGTACAGAAAGAGGCGCAAAACAAGCACTTTGTCTGAACTCTTTCACCAGAGGATCCCACCGAACCTAACTCCAACCCATCTACAACGCTGCTGACCCTAACGCAGCCTTGGGTTTAGAGTAATTGACAGCAGTCAGTGGGCACGTGGACACTCACTGGTCCTTCTGCGGATCATGCACCTAGATGTGGATATGTATCGTCAAAAAAATGCATACCCGGGTGATGTTGCCATCCACGGCCCCCCCTCCGGCTCTTTGCTTCGTTCCCCCGTTGGCAGACACGCGTTGCCCTCCTGTCTGCTGCTATCTTGCTGTACCCGGGTGACTGCTTTTGTGCCCAACGAGAGAGAGACAGGCCTCTTGTTGTGCGCCCCCTTCTTTCTGCCGCCTTTCCAGAGAGAAACATGGGGAAGTCAGGGCGGACGCTGTTGGTGGCGCTCCTTGCGCTGCTGGTGTCGCCGGATGTGCTGGGCTTCAGCTTGAGCCCGGCGGGAGCGCGTAGATCAAGGCAGCAGCACCAACGGGCACCTAGGGGGAAGAGGTCGTCAGCGGCGAGGACCTTGAACATGGCGGCAGACCCGCGCTTCGACGGGTGAGCTCGGCCTTCTCCGCACGCCGGGTAGCGGTGTCATTGCATGAGTAAGACCATGTGGGGAGTTTGTATGTGTCGACACCCCGGCCGCACGATTTCAGGAGGAGAGCGTTCATGTGCCCGGTTGCATTCGGCCGGGGGTGTCGTGCTGGTGTGGTTGCGCCCTCCTGAGTATCCCGGCTGTCCTTCGTGCCGCGGGCGTCAAACAAGCGGGCGTCTGTCCCGAGGCAAGGGATGCACGGTTTTGTTTCGCACATGTCTGTTGATTGTCCATTTCAACAACACTCGACTGCCATATGTAGACTAGACTAATTGCGTTGCAAGCTGTCCCTTGGGCGCTCCTACACAGCCGCTCGAGCGCATACGGGACCATACGGCAGCGATCTATTTACATTGCAGACGCATGTTTCAACTTGGGGCGACCGTAACCAAATCACTAGGATTTGTCTTCGTTTCGGGTTTACCCGCTTTCTGCCTGCTCACAGCAGCAGTGACCCCCATGGCAACCCGCCTCTCCTTCAGCAAGCACATTTACACACAACGGCAAAATGTGAAAGGGGGATATCTACAAATCAATGTACATCACGGGTAGCCTGTATCAAGGGCTGCTGCATGATCGCGCTAGGTACATGCGACACGCCGACGGCCAATTCGAGCGCGCGGACAGGGGTGGTTGATTTGCTCTCGAATCTTAGTAGCTCAAAAAAGGCCGGTTGCCGCGACAACAGAGGCGCGGTCGCATGCACCATCTCTCACCCCCCACAAGAAAAATATTTCGAAGTAGAAAATAGTCTCCTGTATCTCCTCTCTCTTTCTCTCTCTCTCTCTCTCTCTCTCTCTCTCTCTCTCTCTCTCTCTCTCTCTCTCTCTCTCTCTCTCGCTCTCCAATCCCGCCTGCAGGTGTGTGAGACACGCATTCTTGACTCTGAAAGGTCTCTCTGTGTACACATGGCCGACCAAAAGCACCATCAAAACGCGTGCGGATAGGCAGCCAGTGGGGGTGTTGCAGAGAGCAGAGAGGGATACTGACGCTCGACCACCGGAGGCCTTTGTGTACTACAGCTAGTGATGGCTTCGTTCCTTCTTTCGCACAGGGAGTTGCGATTTGTCCTTGACGGTCATGAAACGAAATCCTACACCCCAGCAGGCTCGAGGTGTTCATGCGCGGTCGCTCACGAGCTTCTACGCACCCTATGTTGACGGCGTTGCTTCTCGTGCTGGAAATCTCCGATCCGTTCTTGAAGTGACGGCCTGATTTTTTGTGGTTCAAGTTGCCACCTATTTTGAATCCCCAATTTCAATGACCCTTTGGACTGCTGTCTCGGGGCACGCGACCGACCGTTGGCTTTCGACATCGAACGCTTTGAGTAGCAACTTCTACAGCAACCCACTTAGCCCAAAAATTTGACACGCTCACAGAAATAATTCCCAGCTGCGGGCGGTGGGCGATGTGGGTGCCGCACGGCCATCGTGCCAACCGCATGCGGTCCAGCAGCGGTAGTGCCAACAACACGAGGTCAGTTCATGGGAGGTGGGAAAGGGGCGTAGTCCCAACTCCGGCACTGCGACAGTGCAAAAAACATTTTTCTCCGCGCAACACCGAAGTCCCACTTTTCCGGCCAGCAAAAAGCCTCATCATCGTGTTTTCCCTGTTGATCAATCGCCGTGTTTGGCTCCTACCCCCCCCCCCCTCCTCAGCTCTCAAGGCGTCTATTTGGGTGCCATTTGTTACCTTTTTAGGCCTGACCACGCATACACCCCCTCTAAACGCTACACTTGTGGCCCTCCCCTGTGTCGCCCCCCCCCCCCCCCCCCCTAAACGAAAGCCTCGTCGATCGCGTGGAAACCGCGGCGAAGGCCCCAAGGGAATCCATCCCCGTTTTCAAGAGCCAGGAGGCGGACGCGCCCGCCACGATCGCGGAGGTTAAGGAGCAGGTGGCCCCCGCAGCAACGAAGGTGAGAGCGATCGTCGCCTGTTCGTAGTCGAACGCTTGCTGTTGTGATTGTTTTCAACGCAGCTCGTTTTTTGTTCACGCGCAGAGAGAGAGAAAGAGAGAGACAGGCCGGCGCCAGCGAAATGGGGTGCTGCCGCCATACCACCCCCTTGTGTGCTTGACTCCCAACGGCTCTTCGCACACCCTGTTGGTTGGCGGATAATTTCCATTTATTCAAGCGGTTTTTAGGGCGGTTCCCTCTTTTTCGAAGCGTTGGGTACAGTCGCTTGGACAAAACCTGTGCGTTCTCGGTCGAAACATCGTCCGCTGTTCTCGGGCAACATAGCCTTTTCTTCAAAAACTGATGATCGAAAGCAAGAAACGCGCGGGTAATCGGTGGCCAAAATTGTTTGCCCCACACAATCCTTCTACGTTTTTTTTTTTTTGAACGATTTGCGACAACTGCTGCGCGCGCGCGGTGTCTGGTCCAGGTCGTCGCGGAGCAGCGACCGCCCTCAGCTTCGGCGGCGGGTAGCGGTCAGGCCTACGACAGCGCCGTGTCCGTCGGGTCGGTGGGGCTGCAGGTGGCGGAGGGCCTAGCGGTGCTGGCCGCCGTCCCTGCCATCCTCACTGCTCGTGAGCTGTTGTTGCCCCCTAACAGACGTTGCGACATGCTGTTTTTTGTGTGTTTGTTTGGTGGCAATGGTGGGTGCCGTCGCGCGTTGTGATTGGTGTAGAGTTTTTCTCTGGCCGCTCGTTTTGTGTCGCGACGGCTGTTGTATTCGTCGGTCTTGTGGGCTGCAGGCGGGCGGGTTTTTCTCTGGTACTGGTGTCTGGCTGATGGGGGTCCCGTGTTGGTATGGTGCCAGAAATGGGGGGTAGCGAAGCGAGCGCTGCCACTCGAGCCAGAGCATTTGTAGGACCGGCGACTAACAAACGCCGCCTACCGTCATGAACAATTTCACCCACTACAACCTTCTCTCAGCGCATGTAGCTCAACCCGACCCACTCCGTAGCCGCGCCGCACCGCACCCAACCCGGCTCCACATCAGCAACACCCGCGCGCCTAACCAACGAAAACTCTCGCGCAGTTAACAAGACCTAACCGCACCGTACCGTCTGCAAATCACCCAAAACTCTCGCGCAGTTAACAAGCAGAAGGCGACGCAGGAGCGTAAGGACAAGAACCAGGCAAGGGCCGACGAGCTCGCCAAGGGCCGTCAGGCCAGGGCAGACGCCAAGGCGGCCGCTCTCGCCCAGGCCGCCATCGACCGCAAGGAAAAGCAGGAGGGCATCGCCCAACGCATCGAGGTTGGTTTTGAGGTTTTTTTAAGCGTGTGTACGAGACGGTGGTGATAGCTGCTGTGTGAAGCGGATTTGGAGTGGAGTTGTTGCCACGTGAGGCGGGACACATGCCTGAGACTGGGTTGCGCGCGAGTGGGCGAAAGAGAGGCAACACCAGAGCATATTTATTTGGCGTGCTATGACCGAACCTGCTCAAATATGTTTGCGCCTCGCTTCAAAACCATTAGTAGGGCGGAATGGTGTGTTGTTTTTTTTTACAAAATGTCAGGATATGTCTGCTCTCATCTTCCCGCCCACCCACCTTCCCCCTTTAGTCATTATATTTGGCGTTGTGTGGCATGCCGTGATTTATCGAATTATCTACACCAAAGGGACGATGGAAGGGTTGGCGGAGGAAACAAGGCATGGGAGTGGGCATCAACGATCATCCTCCAGATCGTTCTCCTCGATATGCGCATGCACCATTCGGCGCACTTCTAGCGCCGTCGGCTTTTTGCCAACTCTCGCCCGCTGCCTGGCGCGCTCTCCCGTTAACGTCCCCTTGTCCCCGGCCGTTCCGTTCCCGTCTTCCAACCTATCGTCTCGCTGCCACCGGTACAAACAGGCAGCGCGCATCGAAGAAGAGCGGCAGGAATCGGTCAGGCAGATGGTCATGGAAGCCCAGGTGCGTTTACAACGGGCTGCGGCCACGTCGGCAGTACGGCCCCAAGTATCTCCAGCGCGCGTTCGGAATCAATTTTTTGCCCAGATTTTTTTTTCCGTACATGGCAGGCACTACTGCTTGCTGTAAATGACGCGGATTGTGCGTGGTGTCATGAATGTTCGGTGATGCGCTGGATTATTTTTCAACATATGCGCCCGCTAACTGAACATGACGCGGAACTTTGTAGTGGCATCATGGGTGCTCGCCGACGCGCTGGACATTTTTCTACATGTGCTCTGTGGGCCTTAGCGCCGCTGCTGCTGCTGCTGCTGCTGTTGCTAAATGGCTGTTGTACTCTTTTTGGTCTTGTGTCGCTGCCGTTTCTATTGCTAACGCTGCTGCATGTTTTGGCTCTGTGCTGCATGCTTGCCGCGTGATGTATGATGTATGGTTTGCCGCCAGGTGAAGAAGCAGGCTGAGGAGGCAGCCGCTGCTAAGATTGCCGCCGAGGAAGCCGCTGCCGAGAAGGCGGCGTCGGATGCTAGGTCAGTCAAAACCCGTTTCCGGCTCCCGTTGACCCATTCTGCACGTGTCTCGTTGTTGCTAGCCTCGAACGCGCTAACCGGCTGATAGATGAAGATACGTCAGTGCCAGTGGGTGAGTATGAAGGTCCTGGAGGGGGGCCAAAATTCGTGTGTGTGTTTCGTCTGGCGCCGGTCTACGCACCTCTCAGTATACCGTACGTGTTTGGCGCACATATCGGCCGGGGTCGCAGCGGTCGAGGGCCATGTGTTTATCGATGTTTGTTCTTTACAGCAGTATGGCTGCATAAATTGTTTTCAGGGATGCGGCTTGGGTCTTCTCGCGTTCGACACACAAGAGGAAGGAACGGGTGGCCCAACCGTATGTATATTTTTTCGCTGAGAGGGCTGTGCCTCCACTCTAGCCCGAAGTCACAGATTTTCAAAAACCCGCCAATCCACTGCACCCTTGGCAAGACCGCCGAAATTGGCCGACACAACGCTTCCCTCTACTTTGATAGGAGGGAGGCTAGCAGGAAGGAGCGCGAGATCAGGATGGCGGCAAAGGCCGCTGAGGAAGCCAAGGCTGCGGAAGAAGCCAAGGCGAAGCAGGAAGCCGCGGCCGCTAAGGCTGCTGAGAAAGCTAAGGCTGCGGAGGAAGCCAAGGCTGCTGAAGAAGCCGAAGCTAAGGCTGCCGAAGAAGCCAAGGCTGCGGAGGAAGCCAAGGCTGCGGAGGAAGCCAAGGCTGCTGAAGAAGCCAAGGCCGCCGAGGAAGCCAAGGCCGCCGAGGAAGCAAAGGGTGCTGAAGAAGCTGAAGCCAAGGCTGCTGAAGACGCCAAGGCTGCTGAGGAAGCCGAGGCCGCCGCGGAAGCCAAGGCTATCTCTATTCAGATAGCCCAGACTGAGAAAGCCAAGGCCGCCAAGGCTGCGGAAGAAAAAGCTGCCGAAGAAGCTAAGGAAGCTGAAGCCAAGGCTATCTCTCGTCAGTTAGCCCAGGCTGAGGAAGCCAAGGCCGCCAAGGCTGCGCAAGCCAAGGCTGAGGAAGAGGCTAAGGAAGCTGAAGCCAAGGCTATCTCTCGTCAGTTAGCCCAGGCTGAGGAAGCCAAGGCCGCCAAGGCTGCGCAAGCCAAGGCTGAGGAAGAAGCTAAGGAAGCTGAAGCCAAGGCTATCTCTCGTCAGTTAGCCCAGGCTGAGGAAGCCAAGGCCGCCAAGGCTGCGCAAGCCAAGGCTGAGGAAGAAGCTAAGGAAGCTGAAGCCAAGGCTATCTCTCGTCAGTTAGCTCAGGCTGAGGAAGCCAAGGCCGCCAAGGCTGCGCAAGCCAAGGCTGAGGAAGAAGCTAAGGAAGCTGAAGCCAAGGCTATCTCTCGTCAGTTAGCTCAGGCTGAGGAAGCCAAGGCCGCCGAAGAAACCAAGGTCGCTGCGGAAGCAAAGGCTGCTGCGGACGCGAAGGCTGCTGAGGAAGCCAAGGCCGCTGCGGAAGCAAAGGCTGCTGCGGACGCTAAGGCTGCCGAAGAAGCTAAGGCTGCGGCGGAGCTGAAGGCGAAGCAGGAGGTGGGCGCGTTTGTTCTCTTTTCGGCGGCGAAGGCTTCTCTTGCTTCATACTGTCCACAGGAAGCCAACTTCGTGTCGGCGCGGGTGGGGTAGCTAGTGGAGGGGAGGCGCACCTTCACGGCAACCCCATACGCCTGCCGCAGATATTTGTCTTCGCATGTTTTTTAACAGCTGATTGTGTCAAGCAGATCACGCCTGTCAATGCTGGGCATTCTTTGCAACTACTCGTTTCGCACGTTCCTTGGAGCGCTGGCTGCGGTCACAATCAGCACACGTCACCGCAGCCATCCCATGAAACCGTATCGCCATTTTTTTATGTATTTGATGGGGTTTTTTTTCCTGTCTTGTTTGTTTCCGGGTGCTGCGGTCTCAATCGACAGAATGTTCACCGAAGGCAGCGTTCTTCTGTTCATGTGTATGGTGGCTTTTTCCTGTGTATAACTTGTTGACAATTCGCCCGAAACACTCTATGGTTGGTTGGTCTTCGCCATTTTCAGGCCCAGGAGAAGGAGACTAAGATCGCTGCCGAGGCCGTGGCCGCCAAGGTCGAGAACGAACAGGAAGCGCCGGTAAGACCAAGCATGGCTCATCGGGGGGTCGCCACGAGATGCCCAGAGGACCGGCTTCGCGAGGATTTTTTATTGTTAGTGTGAAATAGAGATTGGGGGTTTCGTATCCTAAACCCTAATTCACACCGACACTTTCTACTAAAAACCAAGCTTAAATAAAGCCCTCTCAAGAGTGCTGTGCCCGGAAGGAGGGGGGTGCGATAAGCGAGTCATTTTTTGTGCAAAGCACGAAAGCGGTGCCTCTTCGGAGGAGTAGGCAAGGCGATGATGATACGGCAGTAGTCTTCGCGAGGGCGTTAAGCTTGGTTTTGGTAGGGGGTTAGGGACAGGGATACGAAAAACCCCTCTCTATTTGATGGATTAATAGTATTATCCTCACGAAGGCGGCCCTGATGGTGTGTTTCGATAGGGGGTGCGTATTGGGTGGTCAAGAGGCTAGGATACGCACAGATAACGCCCGCCGCCCTATCGCCGGCCAAGCGTGACCCTGGCACATGTCAGTTCGTCGTCGTCCCTCTTTTATAGTGTGGTACTGCATATTGCTGAGAGTCTGACGCTTGGCCCGCTTCCATGCCACCCCAACAGGGACAGATGAATATTTTCGGCTCGAACACCTACTATGCGCCGAAGACCGATGCATGCTGTTGGCCTTTGCCTTTGGTTCCCCCCCTCCCCCCTTCCTTTGTAGGGATGCGAGGTCAATGGTCTAACGACTACGGCATGCACGACTATGAGTACCCCCCCCCCCCCCCCCCCCGG